GAACAAACCTCGTTATCAGTTCTCTTGGTCCTGTTCAGCCCATTACTGAGAAGAAAAAGAAATGGCTTTCCTTCAGCAATAATGTAAAGGGCAGTAAAGCAGCACAGGTAAGACCGAGAATGATATGCGTGTGGTGTTTGTTCTCCATTGCTGCTGAAACACTGAAATTTCCCCATTGAGGGATCAATAAAGTACCTAACTACCTACCTAAACCCTGCTTTCAATTTGTACATTAGTAGGAAGAAAATGGCTAAATCCTGAGCTGAACTTCAAGCTGCATTAAAAACCTGGCTTTAACCATTACAGCCTAACAGGACTATTTGTTGGTTGGAAGTTAACATATTTTCATTTGGTTATTATAAGTCCACTACAAGTGGCAGCATACAGAAATTAGTGTGCAGGGTTTTTTTTAACTCTTATAGCAACAAAAGTACATAGAAAAACACATTTGGTGAGTAATAAATACAAAAGCAGCGTTCAGGAGCTACTTTAAAGACCCGTACAGACTAACAGGAGGAGCCCTTTCTCTGTGCTGCAGAATGTGAGCCAGGCCACTGCCTCCTACCAGCCAGGCACCAACGTGCTGACCTATGAAGAGTTGGCCATTTCTCCAGAGCAGCCCACCACCCTGCAGGCCGTGCTCAGGTGCGACACAGAGAGGTCTTCTAACAGCGAGGGCAGTCACACAACCAGCGACTCGGGTCGCTACTCTCACGACGAGATGGAGATGACCAACGTGTCCTCTGGTTCCTGCGGCTGCCCACCGTCTCAAACAGCGGCCATGCTGAAGAGCTGAGCGAGCTGTTTGGGGAGTCAGGCTGGTCTGAGGTTAATGGAGTCTTTTGAGAACAGCTGCTGTCATCATGAAGCCAAGAACAGCTCTCAGTCTGAGCCTTCTCTCTAAGTGTGTGGGCATGTCCGTGAGTATATGTGCGTGAGTTTGTATGTGTGCGCGTGTGTTTGTGAATGCAACGTACTTGCAAAACAAAAGTTGCAGCTTCCATTTTTATTTATTTACACTCCCATCAGCAAAGGCACAGGAAACAGTTGGACCTTTAGGGATGAACATTTATTCACGTTCTCACAGTGTATTAGATAAGAGGATTAACACTACTCTACAAATCAGTTAAATATGCGGCCGGTTAGCTTAGCTCAGCTAGTTTAGGACAGATTGGGAGCAGATGGAAACAGCTGGCCTGGCTCTGCCCCAAGGGAACAAAGTCTGCCTACCAGCATCTCTAAAGTTTACTGTTAAAATGTTGTATTTCGTTGGTTTGATTTGTGCAAAACCAGTGTGTATTTTGTGGTTTTACAAGTGTTTCTTGGTTATTTCCAGTCATTGTGCTAAGCTAAGCTAATGGGCTGTAGCTTCGTATTAAACCAACAAAAATGAGAATGGTGGCAGTGTTTTTATAACTCCTGCCAAGAAAGCGAATTAGTGTATTTGCCATAATGGTGAACAGTTCCCTTACATGTGTAGCTCCATGGAAAATAAAATGAGAAATGACAAAAAAGGAGAGTTTATGAGAACCAGTAACCTGGTTTAAAAAAAAAAATGCTGCACATTTCCTGTAACCTCGGCAGTGAAGATAGGATGGATTGGACTAAAATGCATTGACATAAACCTGCTGCAGTTGTTTGGTTGCAAGTATGAATGTCTGTGAGAGAGAGAGAGAGGTGTAAAGAAACAAAGAGAGAGACCTTTTCTTTTACTTTTATCCTACTTTTTTTCCAGTACACAAATAACAAAAAACCAACAAAGCGCTTTTACAGTATAAAATGTCGGCAGCGAGGGTCATTAGATTTTTTTTTTCCATTTTATTTCAATTCTTTTTTATATTCTCTTCATTTCTGTGTGTATGTCTTTGATAAAACAAATCTCACCCACCATGAATGTTTGAAAAAGTGATATTTCTGACATTATTTAAGAGAGTTTATCACTGGAGCTAAAGAGAAGTTCAAGTCTTTGTTGCTAACTATCTACCTCAGTTTACCTGCGGGTAAACTTTCCACTGTATATTTAATAACTACTTATACCTACGTTATGTGATGGGCTGCTTCAGCACCATTACTTTTGATACTTCCTGATGACATCTCTTCAGATTGTCATCCCTTTTTTGTCTTTTTCTCTTGCTTTGTTCTGATTTATCAGGTGGTAAGGGTGCTGCAGCTTTCTCCTCCCACTCCACGTGACACGTGGACTGAAGGATGTAAAACACATACAGTTTATTTATCTCCTCGGGTGTTGCTGAGGTACTGAGCCAGTATTAATAATATTTTTGGTCATTTGGTCCATTATTGAGTAATGGTATGAATAAAATGATGAATGTCTAGTTTTTTTTATGCCGATGTGCAGCTACCCTTGCTATTCCTGTTTTATACTACCTCGTTTAAGTTTTTTTTTTTTTATTTTTTTTATTGTCTTATTGCTTTCCCAAACTCAGGGAACAAGGTTTAGTATGTTTGAAAAGTTGTGTAGTGTTACATGGTGAACTGACAGGGTATCTTCTCAGTACTAAACTGCGTTAGTGTGTAATTACTTAATAGAATATGCTATGAATGTATCTCTGACATTGTGTGCCAGTAGCTCAGAAGCCTGTGCTACCCTCCCTACAGATGGAAACCTCCTGTAGTTTCTTCTCAGGTCCTAAAATGTCAGTGTTTGTAACAGACTCTGTTTGTTTTTATTTGTGTAACGATTTCACACCAGAAGTGCTTACAGTCATGTGTTGGTACAGAAAAGCTTTATAACTAGCCTTAATATGGAAAGCATACCTCAGATGCTGAAACCAAAGCCCTAATCTCTGAGGTTGTGGATGCAGCACATGAAGAATGACTGTTGTAAAAGCAATGGAAGTGTTTAATCAGAGATGAAAGTGAAGAATTGAATGAACACCATAAAAGGTTTTACTTCAGAAAAATCTATATTTTTGTTAGATATGTACTACTGAGTACACATTGTAGTTACTTTTCTTCCAAGTAGTTTTTTTTACTTTGCTGTAGAGTTGTTAAAGATTAGCACTTGTCTGCCAAGTAGTTTTGTATTTTCGGCCAATGTGCAGTGGCGACTGTGACGCTATTACCCAAAGAGTTGTTTGCTCCCTGATTTTATTTTTAGTCTCTCAACTTGATCTCTGGTGGAAGGTCACTGAGGAAGGTGAAATAATCAAAACACATTAGACCAAAGATGAAGTGCGGCCTTGGAGATGAGTTGATGTGCTGTTTCTCAAACAAAGCTTTGCACATTAGTGGCCTTGACCTGCAATAAAAAGAGTTGTGGGCTCAAACTCTGAGGAAGTGCCAGCAGGATTCACAGGTACATAATGTGGATGGAGAGACACTTAATCATTTGTATGCACATAAACCAAATGATCCTGTCGTATCCTCTCCCGAGTTCCTCAAACTGCTGTAAACGCATCTGTACATTGTAGGTGAAAATAATAAGAGATAAATAAATACAGTATATTATATTGAGTCGTAGTTGGTGTTGCAACAGAGTAGCCAATGTGTAAATGTGCATCAGTGGATACACAGATGTTTTTGCATTGCTGTATTTTTAATCAGAGGACTCTGCAGAGGATTCAATCATGGGATAGTTTTGGAATATAAAGTGACACAATCAGTTTAACTTTCTTTTGAAAAGCAAACAATGAAAACCAAAGATTTTTTTTTCATCAGGCACCGTTGCATATTGGCCAGAGATCAGTTTAAAAGTGTCCTCTCTTTGTGTGAAGTGTTGTCATTTTCAGTGATCTCACTCAATTTCTTTTTTTTAAAATCTGTTGTGGAATGGAAATGTGTGTCAAGATAAAGTGGATTTGTGATACAGTGGTGTCATGTTGCAACAAGGATGCACATTTCCATTTTAACTTGAACAGTAATGTATTCATATGTTCTGTGTTCTTTTAAGAGCTCAATACAGAATCTGAAAAGATCCATTTGAACCCAAAACACTATGAACAGGTGGCAGTTTTTACCTGCTGGAAGATTCTACTTCACAAGAAACGCACTTGTTTGTGTTTTCACATTGTGGAGATGACGGCTACATAACGGGAGTCATACAGGTTCTGAATTGAGCCTTTTGAAGTCCACACAGGTACATACGCGCTACCTCAGGTTTTTATTTTTTCATACTCTTGCGATAGGAGCAATACATGTCTGAGTGGTCATTTATGTTCCTGTCCAAGCATGTGAATGTTTAAAGGGATAAAACACAATGTCTGGTCTGCGTATGAACTGACTTGCCTTTTTTTTCCCCCTCCCTTGTTCAGAAATGTTGTTTAAGTAATGTGTGGTGGAGCACTACGGGTCATTTACAGTCAAACTCGGGGACTCGCAGCTGCTGCTCCTCAGAGAGAAAGCAGGTGTCGGGTTTGGAAAATTGAATGTACCATTTTGTAATTATGTTTTCTGATATTTTGTCAGTTTGTCTGCAAAGTTATAAGTTGGTTTTTGCCAAAATATTTAGTTAGATAATGGTTAAATATGAAAGTCAGATTTTCAGTTTAAATAAAAAAAAATGTCTACAGTTGTTTTTACATGTCATGTTTTGTACTGGTTGAAATGAAGGACAAATGAAATGGTATGATTTTATCACTTTATCTTAATGTAACTACAAAGAGGCTGGCCTTTGTTTAGTCACTTTATTCACATTTCAGCGTTGTCCTTTAACTTCTTTAAAGTCCAAAAAGACCAATTTAAAGTACATTATTAAGAGCTGGTTGAGGTGGAGCAAATTTCTAAAGCTTATAGAGCTGCAATTGATGACTATTTTCAGTTGTCCAAACCTCAAAATGTTTGACATTTAGCACTAAAAACTATTTCCGATTAGTCTTCAGTCAACTGGCTTACGTCTTTGCTTAAATTTTGGGTGGGTTAGTTTATTACAAAGCATCATATCATACGCTTTTCATGTTTTGTGTGCAAAAATCTTAATTTGTAGAGTAACAAATAAAACTGACATAAAGGAGTACAGTAATACATTATTTCCTTCTGATGTATAGAAAAGAAAGTATAAATTGCCATGAAAAGAAAATACTGAAGTAAAATACAAGTACCTCAAATTTGAACTTTGATATATAACACTTGAGTAAATGTACTTTGTTGCACTACTGGTTTTACTTCAGTTTGCAGGGAAATGTACCTTTAGCTCCTCTTCATTTATTTTTCAGCCGTAGTAAATAGTTACTTCACGTTTTCCAGTGTGTATGCAAATGGAAGTACTGTGCATTGTTTCCTTCAAACCCAACAGCATATGTTATTTAAAATTAACACAGCTACAATAAACATTAAAATTCTGCTTACACATTGATGTATTTGTCAATCCAACAATAAACAATATTTAAATAATAAAAAATAAAGGGCCAGTTTAGCACTTTACTTTTTTGGCTAATATTTTGTGATTCTTGATTCAGTTTTGAACATATGGCTTGTAGTGGAGTATTGCTAGTGTTTACTTTTATTGAAAGGATAGTATTAAAGATTATCATATACAGTGTTAGTCTTTATCATCTTAGAATTTACAAACTTTAACAAAACCTTTACAACACTGACCTCTACTGGTATTACATGTTAACATCAGAACCAACTGAACTTGTGCAAAAAAGACATTTAAAAAATGGCATTTCTTCAAATGTTAGTGAGCCTTTTCTTATTTCTTGAGCTTAAACGTTTATTTTAATCACCTTTGACAGATATCACAGCTTTCAGATGCGTTTTGTAGCAGCTCTTGAGTTTTTGAACTTCTACTAAGTCTTATACACCCATATTTAAGATTTACCCACAGATTTTCAATGATGCTCAGGTCAGAGGACAGTGAAGCCCGTTTCTTAAGCTTCAGCTGGTGTTTTCTGGAGTATTCTATGTTGGAGGCCTACTTTGATCATGTCCTGTTGGGGTTTCCGGGTACTGACTTGTAGGGTGCCCAGTCGTTTGCACGTCATACTCGCTGTTTTTAAGGCCATGAATTAAGAAGTAACAGTGCATCAACATTTGAGGAAAAGCCCATTTTCAATAGATTTGCTGGAGAGATTGTATTTCAAAAATGTGCAACAATAAGTAAACAACAAACAAAACGTCTGCATAAAACTGCACGCTAAATAAAATTCCATAATTACTTTTTAACAAACATCTCATTTGTAAAAACTTGCGTTGCTCGTGTAGTTGTTTGAAGTGTTATACTTCACAACAAAACAAATGTTGTGTCATATCCAGGCAGCTGAGCCGTACCAACCAGTTGAGCAACATAATGGTGTGCATGTCTGTTGACAAGGACCCACACGAGCTCAGAGCCAAAACAACCACGAACACGTGTTTTCGGACGGACTTTAAAACTTATCAGTATTGTCCGCATGCATTTTTAATATATCTACGTATGCTACAACACGACCCAACAAAGATCTATGACTTTTTTCTGTTGTCATTTAGTCCTCTGCAGTCTGCTTTGTCACGCTTCCTTGTTTATATTTTTCTCTGCCACAATATTTGCTTCCAAATGCTTTGCGCCACCCTTGCTGACGTGTTTGGCCACCGCACTGACATATGGGAAATGTAGTTCAAACAAAAAGGTAAACGCGTTGCTTTGCGGGTCAGGCTTTGATACTTTAAAACTACACTTCCCTTATAGTGGTCTTTGTGGTTTTGTCAACGGATAACCTGGGCTAGGGCATACTGCAATAATTCTGGAGCTGATTGCAGTCAGCTGCGTCGTCGCTGGGCAAAAACACCGGTGAGTTAAATCCTTTTTCTTAGGGTTTTAAAAGGCCGGTGATGTAAAATAGCTTGTAGAGATAATGAACCCCTTCGACACGGCTTTAATGATATGTTCCAGCGATGCTGAGCGGTGAAGTTAATAATTACCCCGTTAAATTGGTTATCAGCGAAATAACTGCCAAATGTTGTTACTTACTGCTAAAAGACGGAACAAGAATTAACTACAGCTATTATCTCTGTTGGAAGAAGCTAAACGTTGACTAACAGGCCACAGTAGTTATCATCCGTTAGCTGGTACTGTGGTGTGTTACCGCTGGAGTTCGCTGTTACATCTGGTTGTTTGTTTATTTGTTTTATACACTATTATTCATATGGCGAATACGAGTTATCAGTCTCAGGTTCATAATAATGCATTATTGTGTTCATCACTTTAATGTTGCAGCTTGAATTTATAGTTAATTTCAACTACCATATGATGTTTATATGTTTTTAATTTAAGAATTATAAGTTAAATAACTTACTGATTAGAATCTTGTGAATTGGCCACCCAGGATAAATAATTCTCCTGTAATTATTATACTGTATTTTGTTTTATTAATCTGATTCTGAAACGTAATAAGTGTTGTGAAAACAAAGCATGAAGCAGCAGAAAATGAAAATACTTTTAAGTCCAAATACCTCAAAACTGTACTTGCATACAGTACTTGAGTAAATGTACTCATTTATTTTCCAGCACTGGTTCCTAGTAGGGGTCAGTGGAGAAATTAATCCTTCACTTAGTGTGTTGTAGATTTAATTTTAAATCAATAAAAATGCCATTTTCCCCATCAGTCCACAGTCAATAATGTATGATGACAAAGTGAAAACATGCTTTTGAAATTTGCAATTTTATCAAAAATTAAAAAACTTAAATCTCTTTATTAGTTAAAAAAATATTCAGAGCCTTTGCTGTGGCACTCCAGACCATGGAGTGATTTATTTTCCTTGAGATGTATCCAGAGACTGGACAGTTTTTCACACATGTAGGTGAATGATTACAGTGCAGTGTCCATGGGTGGATTCTGGCTGTATCCTGTGTTTCCTATCGGCATGTTTATGATCACCTGTCAAATAAAGGCAAATAATTATCTTTAAAAAAGAAAGGCACACACCTCTTTAGGCTATATAAAGTCTCATAATTCAAAAATCAAGCCACAAAATCCAAAGAACTCTGTGGACCTCAAAATCCAAATGGGTTGTTGAGTTAATGGGCAAAAATACAGGGGTCACAATTTTTTTATTTGTCATATGCATAATGTGCAAAATTTTAAGCTTATGACATTTTTAAGTTTTTCACCACAACATACGGCATCCTCCAAATCTCTTTATCTCCTGTAGATCCCTGTACATTGCCGACAACTGACAGACATGTCAGAGACGTCGAGTGATACAGAGTCATCCTGTGGTTGGACCATCATTAGCAATGAGGTACAAAAATCATGATTCCTTAATCTTATCTGTAGGAGCTATTTTTATTGTTGTTGTTTTTCATGCATTTGCTACATTGTGTGCACCTCCGGTCAGCAGGGACTATGTCTTTATTTGGACATGTGGGACGATATTTAAGGAAGCTTGAGCTGATTAGTACCAGGTGTTTCTGATCATGGAGGTGAACAGTTTTTTGACCAGAGACATGGTATGGTGATGAGAAAAGGGTATTTTATGACTAACTATTGTTTCAGCAGTTGGTTAGCTGTGGCTGTCAATAAATGTACTAATATATAGAAATCAGTTGTGTGTCAAAAGTTTGCAAGACAAGGACACCTCTGTGGCTTTCTGAAAAACAAATAGTCATCAAATTATCTTCTACTGTGTGGAACCTTTCGTTAGCTACAAATCATCTCTTATAGAAACATCTTATCTGAATGCTTTATATTCTTATCAATATTTATCAAATAATGCAGTATTTGTTGAGCTGAATTGAGAAGGGCATAATTCTCATTATGGACAGTTTGAATTGCTTATTGTGTTTACAGGGTTCAGATATTGAGACGTTGGCATCTGAGGCCACAGTGGAATATGGAGCTGAGTTGCTAGAGCGCCCCCCAGTGGAGGACACACAGGCCTCTGTATCTGGTGGTAAGAAACCTCAGGTTTTTGCCTCGGTTTAACAGTTAGTAATATTGTTAAACTGCTAAGTGTGTGACACTACAAAATCAAATACACTATATGGAACTGACAGATCTCATTTGGCTGAATACCAGTTAGTGGTGTTTACTTCGTAGAACAACTCAAAGTCATGAACTAATTTTTAAAACTCATATCAACTTTCCATTTTAAATTAAATAGTTGACAAGATCCTTTCACACTTTGTACCTTGTTTTACTGTCTTTGTTGTACTTTTATCCCTTATATGTATGACTAGGGAAAGTGTTATACAGTATGTGTTGCAACTGTGTGGTCTAATTGTGTCTCTTTCTTGGATTGAGTTGCCTTCAGGATCCAAAATGAATTTCAGTGTAAAAGCTGACAAAGCTATGTCATATACCTTTTGATTTTTTACAATTCTTTAGACAAAACATACAACATTTAAATATTTCAGCATGTGCTCAGAGAATTTAATGCACATTTTGTTTGACTGCTTTCTGATATTTTATGAACCAAACACTCAATGGATTAATCAAGAAAGTAATCAGCGGGTTAATCAATAATGGAAATACTTGAGCTGCAGCTCTAATAATGACTTATTGTTATAAACTAGATTTTTGCTGTGTGGTTTAGTATTTTGTGACATTGTAATTATAACTCATTTGTCATTATATGAATTATATTTCAGCTGTGTGTGTAGAACAAAGAGGCACTGATTCACTTGATGACACACTGGGTGAACAAGCCATAGTTTGCTCAGAGGTGAGAAGACAAAATAACTTTCAGATAACTGTTCTTTAAACAATCTAGAACCGCTTTGTTGCTGCTTCAATCTGTACCAAACATCCTGGTCTTACCACCTGCAGGCCGGAGACAATGCTACAGGGAAGGAGCATGTGACTCTGTTGTCCTCCAGCGATCACTCTGACATCATGACCCTGGGAGACCTGAAGGAGGATGAGCACGCAGAGGTGGGAGAGGAGGCAGCAGCCAGTGGGGGATTCTACCTTGGCACGTCCTGCAGCAGCCAGTACGCCTTCACTGCTCCAGAGACTGGTGCGCCTACACAACCACACACTAACCAAGACTCATGTCTTTTTTTTAGCAGGCTGATTTTATTTCCATTCACAGCCAAACAGTCAACACATCAGCAAAAACATTTCGTCCTCTGCCTGTTCCACCAAAGCAGGTTTGATGTTGAGTCAGTGGAAGCTTCCCCAGAGTCTGGTGAACTTAGGCTACCGTCTGAAGAGTCAGCTCACTGGAGGCCGCTCTTTACCAGGTTGTCAGATGTGAAACTGAAGTGAATCTAACAGGAAGCTACGCTTGCTCAGCAATGCACACAACTAATTCTGATCAGTTGCTGACAAGAGCACTCTACCTGTTTAATGATTTAAACCAGCTGTGCTTCTTTTAAAGCATGTTCAAAAGAAAGTCCAGTGTAGTTTGACCATATGTGCATGTGTCTGGCTGAGTTAGAAATGTAATTAATATAAAAAAATAATATTTAAAGTCAGAGCTTTAGTTTAATACCTTTATCCATAAACCAATTTAGGGTGTGAATTTCTTGGCTGGATTTTTTTGCATTTTTTTCTTTTTGGAAAACTAAGATATAACATTTAGCAACAAATGGTCCACTAAATCTAAATGATTTAGGAGTGTCTTCATTTTGGTTTAATTATTTCAGAAGTTTGCTTTAGCTGTGTTCTACTTAAAGGAATAGTTCGATACTTTGGGAAAGGCTTATTTGTCAGTATGGTAGTGTTTAGTTGATGAAGCCTCACGAAGCTCTGGGGCTTACTTTCCATTTGTGCTTAAGGTAACAAAAACTCACTATTTAACATGCTATATCTTGTTTAATTTGTCCAAAAACCAAATTATAAAAGTGACATTGCAGCGTTACAGGGGTTATGTGCCGTGTTATTTCTGGGCCAGACACCAGAGTCGTACTGATTTTCTCCTGTAACTCAGCACGACAGTTTTATAGAATGTGCTTTAATACGTTAAAAATGCTTCATAAACACTGGATCAAGAATTTGTAGCAGTATTGTTGGGCATTTACTGAATCAGTTTATCTTGGTGACACTTATCTGCATGATTAACATCACTTGTGCACGGTTTCTGAACCTTTATTTTTGTATGCACCATCTTTAAAATACATTCATTTCTTTCTATCACTACAACCGTAACTTTGTATTTTGCTGAAGTTTTTCCAGTGCAGCAGCCTGCAGTGACAAACTCAAGCAGCAGTGAGGATGAGGCAGGACAAAGCACCAGTACCGTCGTACGACGACGTAGGCTGAGGAAGAATACAACGAGCATCAAGACAAAGACTGAGGATGAAGAGGCGCTGGAGTCTGGTCTGAGTGAGGAGGAGGAGGAGGTCAAAGAAGAGAAGCAGGAGGTGGTGCAGACTCAAGTTAAACCTGCTGCTGCTCCAGACGTCCAAAGGCCAGGCCAGGGAAGCGGCATCCTCAACAGATGTATTGTGCTCGCCCTCATCGTAGCCATCAGCGTGGGCTGTGGACACTTCTTTAGTAAGATGTTCACCACCAAATTAGAGAATTTTATTGTTAATATAGAAAATACAAAAATAATAAACATTGTGGAAATAAAGTGTACATTTATTTCTGCTAAATGGAAAGTTTTTAAAGTAATTATACAACAAAACCAAGTACAGCCCTGTGCAGTATTGCTAAAATTAATGGATTAAAAAGTGTACTATCTTCCAGTAATTGTATTATTTTAAGTATAATTAAAAACAAACAGCTTTGATAAGACTGCACTGAAAAATATGGGCCCTCAAAATACAACTTCAATGCAACAAGTGCTTTGCAAACAGTTAAGACTTATTGCATGAACAAGGTTTTAAGCTAAAATGTGATGAAGAGCTTTTGTATGCATGTCCCTTTGAATGAATTGTAAAGCTGAAAGCAGACAAACAAAACCCTCCAGCATACAACAGAACATCCTGCCATAGATAATGATGTACATACGTTATTAGTGATAGTGACCTGGTATGTAGCAATTTTAGTTGTATAATTACCTTAAACTTTCCATGTAGCAGAAATGAATGCACATATTTTGCATGGCCACAAGGTTTTCATCATGTCCTATTTGTGGCTCTTGATGTGCTTGTTTCTTTCATTTCTGCAGTGGTTTTCTGTTAGAGATCACTGACACAGATTTGTAGCACTGATTATCCACCAATCAGACTCCCATTGCAGCGTTAGAAATGGAGTTTGTGTCAGTATTGTCCTCAGGTCCTGTGCCTCCCTGACCAGAGTTTCTTTTTGCTCTGCTACAAATCTCACAGCCATGATGCAGATTCAAGGAAAACAGAAAACAGTGGAGAAAATCCGAATGAATGAGCTCGATGGTGTGAGTGATTTGCTTCAACGACATGTTAGAGAACAACCTTTTACAAACCAGGTCAGTGGCTACATACAGCTGAAGCAAAAATAAACATTTGCAGCAGAACACACATTACATTAATCAGGAACATATTCTGTATCATAAAACTGATTTCCTATCGACTTATTTTTACTTTATTCTAACGAAATAAAGAAATGAGTGATCAGAATTACAGAAATCCTCCACATTGTCTATATATAGAAATTTTTAATATAATGCTGCTTCATCTACTGGCCCCACAAACGCCTTAGAATCTACCACCAAAATAGCCAACAAATAAAGGACTGAATCAGAATCAAGACTAAAGCAGAAGTAGAAACAACATACAGGTCTTTCATTCTTTGTAATGCTAGCAACGCAACTAGCATTCTGAGACCGCGAATTCACCCTAAAAGCGAGACGTGAACAGCGCACAAGTTAATGAAGCAATTGATCTGTTCAGACTACCGTGCGCCATCACTGTCATCAGAACAGGCATTTGTCTGCCAGTGAGACAGTGACCGGACAAGGGGTCTGTGGGGATTACATTTTGTTAAACACACCACTGAGAAGAAACATGAAGCATAGAAAACAGGGGGGCTCCAAGGGTGACACGCGTCTCACACGTCTCTACATCAGTGTGGATGGACACATTTGACTGGAATTTTATCTATTGCGTGAGAGGGGCAAGTGACAAAATGCTTAATGAGAGTTGGCCTCGACTTGTAGCAGCCAAGAAAAATGCACAAAGTAAACTGTCCCATCAGAAACAAGTAGTAGATGTGGAAGCATTTTATATTAAAAAGGACACAACAGTAAGTGTGAATGTTAAGTTTTAAACAAAACTCCTACTGCTATGTAGGAAATGTTAAGCCCAGCTTTTTTGTACATATGACAGTAGATGCTTCCCATCTCAAAAACGTTGGTTTGTAAATATCTTTTGAAAGTGAACAGAAGAGCTCAAATTTTTTAAATTATACTTGTTACATTTTAATTAATAAAAATAAGTGTGAAATAGGCAGATAATATTGCTTGAGATCGATCACAGCCTCTGAATCAAATCGAAATTGGATTGTGACATTTTTAAGTATCGCAAACATCAGATAACTGGCTAAGAGAATCAAGATAGGATCGCGACTTACAGCCCTAATTATTAAGTATTACTATGAGCTCGCAGTTAACTTGAAAATCCAGGTTTCACTTTGGTGATATAAAATAAATGCAAAATGAGTATTGTAATGATGATTTTGAACTCACTGCTGCAAAGAGAGTTTGAATTGTGTTGTTGACGACCTGCTTACTTGGGTGTGGAATGATCCATATTTGGTCACACTTAGGAGTTGTGACCCATGTAACCATGAGTTTACTGGACCATAACTAGTTTTTTTTTTCTTTTTAGAGGGGACACTTTGGCTTGGATGACTTGGATGAGCAAAAACCTATTTCACTGCTCACAGAGGTGATTGAGAAAGTAAAGAAAGAGAACCAGGAGCTCAGCAGCAAACAGGCGCACATTCAGGTAACACAATATAAATGTTTTGGTGAGGAGGAGTTATGCTTGACAATTGTATTGACCATGGCGTGCACCAGAACCGTTTATATTCACCCTCGACTCGCTGCAGTCCTCCTAAACGATAGTTACTGCTGGAAAAAACATGACTATTTCAGCGTGTGCCCACCAGTGCATGGGCATGAACGGTGAGTATAAACTAAATCAAAACTGAATAAACCCTTTCATGTTCCTATTTTGCTGTTCAGATGCTGAATGATTTTCAATATTTGTGATTCATGCAAACATTGTAAAAGCTGTAATTTTCCCTCTGGTCCTCCTTTTCCCATTAAGGCACAGAGAGATGACCTGGAAATGTTGCTGACACAGAGAGATGAGGAGAGGACTAACATGATGTCGCAGCAACAGAGGTTGACTGTTGAAAACCAGCTGCTGAAAAGCTCATTGGAACATGAGGAAAAGTCTCTGTCCACCTTGCAGGAGGAGCTGAGAAATCTGCGCTCTAAGATTAGTGATCTGGAGACAATGGCAGCTGGCACTGACTCGCTGCTACTGGAAAACCAGAGGCTGAAAGATCAGCTGGAAGAGGAGAAGCAGCTGATCAGAAACTTCCACAGCCAGAGGGAAGAATCGATGGCTGAAGCACAGACAGTGAAGAAGCAGCTCGACAAGGAAAGGAAGGTCACAGATGAACTGAGGAGAGAGCTGAATCGCCTGAGAAGTCGCATTCCTGGCACTCAAAAGGAGGCTGGTTCAGAGGAGCTACAGTCACGTCTGATGGAGCTGGAGAAGAGGCTGAGCTTCGAGCAGCAGCGCTCTGACTTGTGGGAGAGGCTGTATGTGGAAACCAAAGAAGAAAGGGCCAAAGGAGACACAGAGCCCAGAGTGAAAAAACCAAAAGAGGCCATGGCAGGGAAAGTGAAAGAGACATTTGATGCGGTGAAGAACTCCACCAAGGAGTTTGTCCACCACCACAAGGAGCAGATTAAGAAAGCAAAGGAAGCCGTGAAGGAGAACCTGAGGAAGTTTTCAGATTCTGTCAAATCAACTTTCCGACACTTCAAGGATTCAGCTTCAGCTTTCATCAACAAGGCCAGAGGATTTTATAACAAGAGATATGATGAGAAGACTATGAAAGAGTTGTGGCAGCACAGATTCTACAAGTCTCACAGACCTACACAAAAATATGACAACACCAGGAAATCAGGTGACAAAGTTCACGACAGTCGAGGTCAAAACAGCCACAGATCCAAGGTGAAAGGATGTTCCGGGGTTTTTGACTGCGCCTACCAGGAGTCAATGAGCCTTTTCAACAAAGCCTTGGAGCCAATTAGAGCAGACGAGTTTCACCAGCTGCTGCAGAGCTACCTGCAGCAGGAGGTCCACCATTTCCACCACTGGAAAGAGCTGGAGATGTTCATCAAAAACTTCTTCCACAATGGACTGTTCATTCATGACCAGATGCTTTTCACAGACTTTGTCAGTGGTGTGGAGGATTACCTGACGGACATGCATGAGTATTACAGCCTTGACAATAATGTGTTTGGAGATCTTGGCGATTACATCTACAGGCACTTCTTTGGAGAGGGATACACAAAAAGCTATGGCCCAAGGTAAGTCTCCTTCAGCTATGTTCAGTCTCTCTTCTCTTAAGACCAGGTTCTTCTAGATTATGCTAAGAGTTCCTATGTTGATTTCCTCTTGTGTCCTTTCCATAAAGTAACTTTTACTGAAGAACCGAGGGAACAGTAGAGGTCCAGGAACTTTCCCTGAAACAAAAGACTTAATCTGCTACTAATGTGAGGAAAACAGACTGTGTAGAATTGGTACATTGCCTGAAAAATCAAGTGAAAATGGGACAGGACATGGTGTCTCTCAACTATACTACCCCCCTCCAAGACACTTTTCAGCCTTCTGTTATTACAGCTTCTCTGCCCTGTGTTTTCAAAGTATAGCCTGTAAATTAGCCCCGTCTGCTACCTAGCCAAGGTTATAAGAAGCATTTCTCAGACTGCGAGTATTCATTTCAAACAGCCAGCCATGGAGGAGCTGGATTGACACATTTACTCTTTAGACAACTAACACTGGCGTCAGACTGGAGGCTCCATTTTGTTCAGTTTGTCACAACCAGGCATCTGTAGTTTAGGTTGTTGCTAGGAAACAAGATGTGATGAAGGAGGGGCAAAGAGTGGTTAGGAGAGACTTGTGTCTCACTGGACCCTCTAGGCTGGAAAGAAATCAGAGTAACCAAGTTCTAGCAAATCTGATTGTGCTACACCTTCCTTATATGCATTTATAAGTGTAACACTTATGTTCAAGTCATGTGTGTTTGAATCACAGTGGGCCATTTGAAAGACCTGACATGGATTCAAAGGATCCAGGGCCAAAGCAACAGCGTAAGCAGCAGCGAAGCAGATCTCGATCACACAGTGAACGCAAGTGGAGCAGATCTGGAAGAAATGCAGACAGACACATGGCTGATGTCAAAATAGAACTTGGTCCGATGCCGTTTGATCCCAAATACTAAAAAGATCTCAGCTGGTTTCAGATTGTAGTTACAAGTTTGATGTTGGGCTGTATTTAGATGCAAAGTCTCCTTTTTTGTAAGTTTGCACAATGTTACCTTTTAATGCTACTGAATGACCTTGAGCTGTTTTGCATTTAATGAAGTAGCCATTAGGTTTAAGTGGAAGATATGGCATTTGTACCATGGGAGTGAGGAGTTCATTTAATATTTCACATTAAGTGAAGCAGTAAATTACAGATCTGATTATTTCTTACTGAAATTGCACTTCTGTATAGAAAAGTTAAAAATCTTTAGCAAAAAATTTTAACTTGGGAACCCAGCTCCTGTACTATGTTAAACTAAAAAAGACGTGCCACATTGAGGACGTCCTGGTGTACAGCCATGTAGTTTTAATTAGCTGCTACAAAGAGGTTTGTGTGATGTGGTTGTAATTTGCTTCGAGTTTAAAAAGCTGCTTTTCTCACATTCCACCTCAAGCTTATTTTAACTGGACATGGCAATTTTATTTTACTGTACCCAAGTTGGAAAAAACTAGAAAAATAGGTTCACATCTAATTTAATTATGGGGGAAAAACTGATTTACTCTTAACATCTGATGTGATATTTCAAGTTATGAGTTTAAACTATTCCTCCTGTAGCAAATCACCTAACATTATCAATGAGGAAACAAACGTACCATTGTGTTTGTCAGTGCCTTTTGTAAATAAAGATGCTTCCTCCGACTCTTCCCTCAGGAAAATGAGTGTGAAACATCTCTGCTGTCCTCACAAAGTTATTCCCCTGCAAAAACACGGAGATCTCCTACAGCAAGAAAAAAAAAAGAGTTTAGGGAATTTTAACATTTCCACAAATAGATGTAGAATTTGTGAACTCTTACCTTTTCCAGAATGTCAAACAGAACCAGGTGAGTGGGCAGAGAAGATTTGTATGGAAACGATGTCCTGAGCCAGTGAAGAGGGTTGTCGTAGAAACTGTGGGCTTCATCGACATAGCCTTCGCCTCCAAGGTCTGGAGGACACTCAAGAAACCTCATCTTCAGCGGGCAGTGGACGTGACTACAAGGAGAGAGTAGCATCGGCTGCTGTGTGTAGCACAATATCTACAGAGTCCCAAAGTAATCAAGTACAATACATCCTGAACGTCCCAAAGTCAAGTATCAACACAGCAACAAATTTAAAACAGAATGAAAAGTTAATGTTGACTTGTTGATTTTTCATTTTAAATGTAGTGGTTCAGATGTGACATGTTTAATACAGTGGCTTAAGTTAATGGAACTGAATATCAATAAAAGATTAAGTCAGATTCAATAGGGTTACATCTAATATTGACATACAGGGAGGGACAAAATGTAAACAGCACTACGAGTCATTCCTCAAGTACTAAATATTATTGATCACAGTGTACACAGCAGGTTGCGGGGGGGGGGGGAAGCAGTGGCATTATCCATCAGTTTCAAGTTAGCGCAGTCACAAGTCTTGGTTTATTGATGGACAACATTTTCATCTACTGAATGTTTTTTAAAATGATCTTTAACAAGATAATTGTGGGGAAAAATGAGCATAGACTATTAAAATGCTGGGTGCTCGGCGTGAACACCAGAAATATCAAGACATTTTCAACAATCGTTATTCTTTGGTCTGTGTATATTGACATTTGGCATCTATAATTTACTCAAGTATTTTCATTTTCTGCTACTTCACTACATTTTAAAGGCAAAATTTACTTTTTACTCCACTACATTTGTTGGATAACTTCAGTTACTCAGAATCAGATTAACTAGACAAAATACAGTATAATTTATTGATCCCTAGTGGCTAATTCGAAAGCTACCCACCAATAATTAGCTCCACCTTTACCAGCTGCAACATTAAGGTGACACAAACAACAATGCATCATTATAATTATCAAATATGATGATATACTGTACATTAATGTAAACTGCTAATACTTTTGTACTTTTACTTAACATTGTGTATCTAAGGCTTGTAAACAGTATTTTTAAAACTAATTTTAGCTGTGGTAACATAACTTAAATATCATATTGTCACCACTATCAAATCATTAACTGCTGCTTTAACTTCAATGCAGCATTAATTACCTATGAGATGTAAAGTTTTTTTAAATATTGAATAATAAAATACTGCCAAGAATTTAAAACTACATCAGAATCACTGGTGTGCATTTTTCAACCACTCCTTTGATAAAAGAAACCAAAAATAACCTGTTAAAAAGTAACAATTCAGATCCCATCAGGTCGCCACATGTTGACTGTTCCACAGGTGTGGACAAGTGTGTACCTGTAGTATGGCGTTGAGTGGCAGGGCATGAGGAAGAAGACGTCTGGCTGCGGATGGGTGGAGGTGCTGTTGACATCACAAAGCATCCGCAGGTGGCTCATGACATCCAAAGTGCCTCGCTGGTGGATCAGGCCAGTGTACAGAGCTGCAAATAGGTTGGTCACCAACAAGGCGAGTGCCGCAGCTCGACGCCACGCTTTGAGACTGGCCAAGGAGGTCCCTGTGACAGACATGAAACACACAGAAAACATGCATGGTTAAAAGGCACACACTGTTAGGCTGAACACAGTTTGGATGTGAAACTGGGAGCTTACCACAGAAGACCATGCAGAAAGGCAGCACAGGGTAGATGAACCTGAACTCCTTGTGAGGAAGCAAACTGAGGTAAAGACAAAATATGTCAAGTTTGTCTGCTGAGCATAAAACATCACAACTGACCAGGATGCTGCAGTCCAGAGGCATGCGGGTCAGGCTAATCGGTGACTAAATTGCCCGGAGGTGTGAATGTGATCTTGAAGATAACATGTGTAGTCTGGACCACTAGTAGCATTATGGAGCAATAGTTTTGTTTGTTCTTGTTCATTTGACACACATTCCTGCCATTGGTTTCAAATTCCAACTCACTATATTTTTTGTCTTAATTTGGCTTTTCAGAACATTTTTCAGTGTTGAACACACATCTTACCTGTAAACCACGAGGGTCCAGATAACTGCTGCCAATAGGATTTTGTGTCTTTTGAATGCGAGGGTGCACCCATGAAGGAAGAAGGGTAGATGAGGACCGATCACGACAGCAAAACCCTGAGTAAAGTACCAGTGCCAGGGATGAGAGCCGTAGAAATCAGCCACACCATGGAAGATGTTAAACTTCAGGAAGTTGAACTGCACCATGGTCCACTGGAAAACAGAGGGCAACTGTGAAGCATAACATTATGAGCAGCAGTTAATAGCAATGTTATAAATATTTTACCTTTTCATAGAACACACAGTCAATCACAGTTGAAATTGCAACAGCCAAAGTCCTAGAAATGAGAAGAAAGATTATGCAGTGAAGAGGGAAAAAAAAGTTGAAGTGGATATAAGGTTAAAAGTACAAACCCGATAGGAATGTAGTTATGAGTGACAAGTCTCAGTTTGTCATCCTCCTGCCAGAAATGATACATCAGCAGAGGAAACCAGACGATCAGAGCTGTGGGACGAACAACAACCGCCAAAGCAACCAGGGTCAAATATTTTTTGCTGGGGGAAAAAAAAACAAAACATTTCTGTAAGTGATTTATTTTGAAGATTAGGGTGAAGAAACATCAGAAAGGTGTTGAGAAGCAGAGACCTGCTGTGTGTTTTGGACCCAGGCAGGGGAAAGTAAGAAAGAGCCAGGCAGGTGATGGTAGCCTCCATGCTGTTGGTCAGAGTCCTGGTGCTGCAGTACCACGTGAACCACGAGCACAGATGGCAAAGGAACTACAGGCCAACATCAGAAGAAGAACAGGTAAATGAGAAGTGTGTTTAGGGTGACATACTCATAGTAAGCCAGATGAAACACCGGGTTTTCTTCCATCCAACAGGGTGATAAGCCAGAGCAGGGCAACATTTACAAACCATACAATATTCCAGCGTACGCTGGTGCTGTTTACTTAATATGCCCACATAGCTGCAAATATGCCAGGAACACGTTTGGCACTGTAGATTCCCCAGGCTCACTCATTTCGTAATCTCCAATGTGTTTGCTTTTGAAGATTCTCATGGCTCTCAATAGTCAATAGCCAGTTAAAAGCACATTACATCACACATGAAATCACAAACCGTTTGAACTCTGGCCCTCTGGACGGTGCTACAGAAATCTGTACGCCAAAACAACCAAACACAAGGACAGTTTCCTCCCCCGTGCCATCACTCTCATGAACAGTTAACCCATGCTTGTGACAGGACAAAGTAATCATCCCAGTGCAATAAACTGTAAACATAACCACTGTATACATCAATCTGAAAACTCTTCTAATGCAATGTGTATACTTATAGATTGTCTCCTTTTTCCTATTCAATTACATATTTTCCTATTCTGAATGTACACATTTTAATATTATTTTGTTGCTTTACAAAACACACAGAGCTTGTACCAGAGCCAAATTCCATGCGTGTTTAGGCAACAAATAAAGTACAGTAGAAATGGATAATATAATACAATGTAGTCATGTTTGGCCCAGTTGAAACTGGGCATTTTTGTGCTTAATTCACTACAATAAGACATTTTCTGAAATTTTTTTCTATCCTCAAATCAAAGTATGAAAACATCATTGATTTTTGCAAATGCAGATGATCTGCATCAGATCTGGACATACTATGTGGTTGTTTTTTAGTAAATTACTGTAATAGACTAAGGAAATGCCCTTACCGTCCACTTTGCAACATCCCGACTTTCCAGCATTTGAATGAGGAAGAAGAATTTTACATCAGCAAATGCAGCCAGCAGGGCTTGAATTATTCGTGGAAGCCATATCTGCAGAGCCAAACCAGGATCAATGAAACATTCTGACTGATTGAAATTCATTTGGACACACACATGCAGATATGTAAAATATATTAATTTACCAGGAGGTGGACTGAGTCATAATTTATGAGGTATAAGGTCTTGTATATCAATGCAAAGAAGAGTGGATAGGAGAATCCTCTTATCCCTGCCTTCCATTCCCAGGTCAGGTACCCGTAAGTGCCACTGTTATGGTTGTAACAGCACAATAAGAATAAAACCAAACTGCCAGTTTAAACAGACAAAATAGTTCTTGACAGATGTAGGATGAGGAAATACACTGCCTTTAATTGGTACACTGGATCTTAGCTAAAAAGGTGTTTAGGTACTGTACTGTGTGATTTGTGCTCTTTGTTTCAAAGATTCTTAGGTTCTTGGTTAGAAATGAACCAACACAGCAAAATCTCATAATTGTGCCTAAAACTAAAAAGATGCTGCAACAACAAAAAATGCAAATGGAGCGAAAAGGCTTTGTGATTCTGAAACTACCATCTGTGTGCGTCTACTGCTAATAGTACTGATAATACACAACGGGCCAGCCACACTGACAGACAATTTGTTCTTCCCCAAAAGGATATTTGAAGACCATGCGATGGGAAACCTCCAACGACTGCCAGTACTCATCAGGGACAAAGCTGGTCTGAACCAGAAGGCAATTGATGAGTCTGAACGCCACAGAAAACACAACAACCCTGGCTCTCAGAACACCTGGAGTCAGAGAACAACCACTTCGTTTTAGTATAAGAAACCTGATTTATCCTCAACATCACAACACACAGGATCAGAGTTGGTCACCATTATCATACTCAGTCTAACCAGTGGTGGAAAAGATTTCTTCAGATCCTTGACATAAGGAAAAGTACCAATAATACAAGGTGAAAGTACACAATTACCAGTAGAAGTCCTGCATTTAAAAGCCTGCTTAAAAGTACAATACAATGTACTCAGTGTATCAAAGTGAAAGTACTTGTTCTGCAGTAAGATAAATTATACATCATGAACAATTGTGTATCATTTGCTGTTACAGCTGGTCAAAAGATGATGCTAATTTGAATATTAAAACTGTTTTACCACAAGATTTACTGTATATGATTTTAGTACATAGCCAGTTTTTATAATTATTGTTTATTGCCCTGCCCCCATGACATTAGAGTAGAAGTATTCAATGCAATTAAATGGAAATACTCAAGTAAAGTAGGCCCACCTCAAAACTGTACTTAAGTGCAGTAAATGTGCTTATTTACATCCACCACCGTGTCTAAAATAAAATAAAGTCCCACCGTTGTTCAGACGACATTCATTTTCCTTTGAATACAGTTGGGATTTTCTTTTCCTCAGTTTCACATCATCCACTTTGTTCCTGAGACTCAGACGTGCTCGGATGTTCTCCATCAGGACATGCTGTCTGTGGGCACGTCTCACCAATCAGCTGCCAACATAGCTCACCTGGCAGGATTTGACACAGGTGTGTTTTGAGGCTGAGTGAACTCTTTAATACAAGTAAATCATACACGATTAATTTTAAACAGACGCAATTATCGTAGACTTGCTGCTGGTCAAGTGCTATCATTAAAAAAAAACTGCGCAATCTTTCGACGTATTTAACCAACGTTAAGAAACTTGGATAATGTTAAATAAACAAAAATGAACGCATATTAACTACCAGTAACCGCTGAATGAACAGTGCTCGAAGCGCTTCCGCAATCAGATTTACTTCCGGTAAGAGGTTGTTTTCCGACTTCAAAATAAAAGTTCGATACTTCGACACTACAAACGTGTTTGGTTAGCCTCAGAAAAAAACGGAAGTCCATGCCACCCTTAAAAATTGAAATACAGGAAATGCTGTACGAAAATGTTTAGGAATATACGAAATTAAAGAAGGTTTCTCCCAGGTATTAATATTGTAATGGTTTTGATGTCTAGCCTCTAGTTATATGGTTCTAAAAAGGACATTGATACCGCAAGAACGTCTGGCTGCTTTCTTAGGAACGGAGAGTATTACAATATATTAATTATCTACAGTAATATTTGATCTGGACTTTTCTCTTGGGAAAAAAGCAACCTCTTTAAAAAAAGACTGAATTAGTGCAACTCACGTTACTGTTAATAATTAGAAGTGCACTAATAATTTGAGATGATGTACTGTAATTTCAATGTTATTGTAAATATAACTTTCACAAAGCACCAAAATAAAACAGTAGGAGTGGACTTAACAATTCCCACAACTATGGAAAAAATTATGATTGATATGATATGATTATGATTATGAAAAAAGCAGACTATAAGAAAATTACATAGTGACTTTAAATCAAAATTATGAGGATGACATTTGGAAGTAGCATTAACAAAATCACAATCTGGACTTTATTAAAGTAGTCATTGTAAGATCAAATTTACTTTTTATTATTTCCTGACATCTGTTATTATTTTGCTGGAGACATTGTTAAAGTCCATAAATCATGTAAACTTCAGTCTTTCTAATGTGGTTCTGGTATCTGTTTTTATCGTAGCTTCTTTTTACACATAAACGGAGATAATATATACAATAATATACATACAATATACATAATAATATATACAAATAAACAAGATATTACAGAGCAGAAACCGTGTTACTGTAAACACGGCTAGAGGGCAACCTGTAGCTCATTGCTATTCTGCCAGAATTCACAGTAGAAGAAGAGTGTTTAGCTGCTATACGTGACAGACGTCAACCTCTTTAAAGTTATATCGTGTTTGTACCCTCTTGTGTTTCTGTCCATCTTTGTTTGGTGATTACGTACACTTCGAATAAACCGCGTCCTCGGTGAGTTTAAACGCGACTAATGTGAGGAAAACAGACTGTGTAGATAAAATCTCCTGTTTTAGATGTGTTTAGGTATACGGCCTTGAATCAGTCGAGGTAGCAGAGAATGTGCCCGTATGTTCGTTCTGGGTTTTCAAAGTAAAAGATTAAAAAGACAAAGTGGAAATAGTACAATGACAGAATTTTTTAACTATAAAAATACAACTTTTGCTGTCTTGACCAGTTTATAATTATCTTGTAATTTGTTGATTTTTTTCTTCAATTAATCCAATAATGTCAGAAAAATGCCCGTTTCAAGTCTAATACAAAGGTATTTAGTGTAAAATTATATGAAACAGGGAAGAGCCCCAAATCTTAATATTTAGAGAGGCTGAAACAGATTTTTTTTATTTTTTGCATTTAAAATTACTTTAATGAATAATTGTGAAAATGATTTCCACTTATTTTTCTGGCAGTCATCTAATCTATTAAACTTAATCATTGCTAATTCACATCAAATAAATGAAGACCCAAATTCAGCATCTATAGGATATAATTACAGGGGTAAGTGAAGGGCCACTGTTCACCTTCAGCTTCAGTCCTTTTTGGATTTTAGTGATATGAGGCTCAGACTTTGTTTACTTGGAAAATGAAGAAGAAATAAAGAAGCAGTTTCTCTGGAAATCTACCTCATGTATTAAGATCTAGTTGAGGAGGGTATGAAAGGTGTATTGTGCATGACTGTGCAGTTTAGTCATTCTTACAGGCATATTTAAGAGGCCACAGATGTGGATTAAACTGCTGTGGTTAACTGGTCATCACTCTTCAGGTAGTGCCCTACATTGATTTATTTTAAACATTTTGAGGTTTAAGTAAAAATACAATATGTTTTGGCTTTGGAAATGCTATGAACACAGTAACACAGCCAGCAATTATCAGTTATATTGCACTGCATGCAGAGTCACTAACATAATCCATGTAAAAGGTTATGCTTAAAATTTTGCAAGAACATGTAACATTCAACAAAGCTTAGGAAATGATGAACAGAATGTAAAAGAAGACAACGTGTCTTGGAAAACATACATATTATTGTTCTTTTAGGAAACATCTTGTGAAGCCATGTTTCAACGAAGAATACCCTTCAACCAGAAAGCCCTTGCCGCAGTACTCGGAGTTGCTTGTGGTATTTATATCTTCACACCTTATTTGGAGCAGATGTCAAGGACATCAGGACAACAAAACCAGGATGGGCCAAAGAAAGAGAATACACCTGATTCATCCCTTCCAGGAAAGACTTCACAGACAGAAGCCAGAAGAACTACATAAGAGGCGGCTGGACATCAGAGATGAATGCCAAGCTAAACAAGACCAATATGGATAAATTCAGGCTTCTTTGGGTTGCTCTGTGTGATTGTAAATGTGCAGAATAAAATATTAAATAATTTGACTTCTTGAAGTATCATCTGTTTTAAAATGATATGTCAAAGTTTTATGTCATGGATTTACGAATCGTACAAGGGGAGGCAGTTCATACAAAAGTTTTTTTTTTGCCCCTGCTCTTAATGTATAGAAACTCTAATTTTATAAATGAATAAATGTTGTATATTGACTTTGTGAGTCTAAAAAGCAAGATTAGGATAACTTTGAGTGTATATATTCTGTCAGATTCCACAATTAGTGCTGTAAAGTCCCTCTTCTTGCCCCTAAAGATGGTGACTGTCATTACACACTTTCATTCCAGCCACAGGCTCCTTTGCCAGATTCCCAGTGTTTTTCCCCACAAACAGGCACTTGCACAGATAGACCCCAGGTGGTGCTCACCTGCCCTTTTACCCTCTGACTTGACAAGTGCCCTTTTTGCAGGACAGTTTTTCCATTTTTAATTCTGTATTTTAGTTTTTAAAGAATTTTCATTGTGGTCAGGCTTACGGTTTATGTGGTAATGCAAAGATGGAAGTGGTTTTTTTAAAATAAATTTTGGTGAAAGCTGTGCCCCCCTTACTTTAGCTTGAGCACCTGCCCCCAAAATATCTGTGCACAGCCCTGCCCACAGGTATTATATTTATTGTATTTATACAGAAAATTGTCTTCTCTTTTACTTTATTTTCACAGGACAACCTCAGTGAGACTAAAATCTCTTTTGCACGTGTCCTGGCCAAGACAGGGACCAAAAGGTTGCTATGGTTTACTACATAAGCCTAAAAATAGTTAGCATTTTCTTCTATAACTTGAATTCTCAGAATTTTGACTTTTCTAAAAGTCATCTTTAAAGTCGGAGTTCTGAGTTTATTCTTAGAATGCTGTGAAAAAGTCAGACCTCAAATATATTTGTTTCTTTATGTTCTTACAGTGGCCCTAATCCTCTTCCGTAGTGAGCAACATCAAGGACCGTGTGCCCTGTGGGGAGGAGCTGTTTCTCAATAACCCGACAACAGTAAAGGTGGTGTTTAGTATAAATGAAGTTGGTCTTGTATCAACTAATGGCACAGAGGCGGCGGAGAAAGTAAAGGCGTCATTTGTTCACCTTTCTAAAAGTCTTCAACAGTGACTTCCAACTACTTTTTTTAACACCACGACACAGTGCGCAGCAGCAACGCCCCGGGGCCGGTGAGTAGTTCGCTGTTAAATGTGCTTTCAGGAAATGTCACTCGAGGAACTCAGTCGTCTGTAGCATCTGTCAGGAGTTAGCAACAGGTTGAAAAGTTTTCTCTTCATTTTAATTGTGTTTAATGTTTGCATTAGCTATACGTAGACTGCCTACCAATTTTCTTGTCAAGTCGTCATAATTAAAGACCGTTTTCCCACCTACCTTATTCTCTTCTCAGATCTTTTAGCTTCTTATACACTTACGCAGAAACTATTAACGTTACAGAGTAAGAGCGCTGTTAATACGGGTAAAAAACTAGTTTTCCCTCCCAACAGGACTACAGGTTATTAACATTTAAGGTTATTATTAACAGTGTTTAGCCAAGTTTGGACCTATACTGCAGAAGATGGAGCTGGCATCCAGTTTAGTCTTTGTGCACAGATCCTTATGTAACTTTTTGAAAAGGTGATTATTTCTTGCCCAAGGAGTCACTTGACCACCCTTGACAGCCACGTCTGCACCAGCTGGGGGTTATTAGTTTGTCTCACTTGCTTTTGAGTGTTTGTGTCTCAGCAAGGGAATAGGTTTTATGTGCCTCTTACCATGTGTTGTTGCTGGGCTTGACTGCACATAGAGCCTCGCAAGGTATTTTAATGACCACATAGTAGACGGCACTGGTCCCCAGGCATTTTAAAGATGCTTGTGTTAATATCCAATCATTAGATATTATTCTGAGTTACATATCATCATAATGTCACACTTGTGCTGCTCCACTTTTATCCTTTATCGTGTGTCCATATCTGTTTTTCCCAAGGAGCTGCTGGGCTCTGTGTTGGGCAGCTGCCCAGGGTGGGTCTTCCACTTTTCACAGACAAACCATTAAAGCAGATTTTTGTTTGCTAGTCTGCATTGGTGGTAGTATATGCCTGGCAAACACGGCTGGGCCACTCCCACTGAAGGAGAAAATGCCAACAGATATCAAGGCACAGGTCAGAGTTTCTAAATTCAGCGTTATTTAAATTTGACCCACTTAGGAAAACTTTGAGGTTTAAAAATCTATTCTGAACATGATGATCAACAAACAGCACAAGACAGATAACAAAATATGCCACAAAATCAGAGGACGCCAGGCAAGACCACTGCTGATGTGATGCAGTAGTTAAGATATCACTTCTTGAACTGAACGCTTACTGCGCTCACTGTTTTCTTGCCTAATGCAAGATCATACTGTGCCATCAGAGCTCGCTTTCTTTTCACAGCTGTGATAGGACTGGGAAGTGCAGAACAACTAGGAAATGGTCTTGCAATTTTAGATTTTAGCACAGCTTTGTGTACTTCACATGCTAATTTATGCACAAACATTTACTTTATTTCTTGATAACATTCAGTAGCGTGTGATCATACTATTTCTTGTTGTCAAATGGGGCCATCTGATTGTCCTGATAATGGCCTGACACAATCAGCCACTCCAGCTCTGTGGTTTCGCTTGACCGTGTCAGTTTGATCTGTTTTTACTGTAATGGAAATCGTGTACTGACTCAAGTGTTTTTTTCAGGGCTTTATTAAGTCATTAAAATGCATTAGATTCTTCTCTTGTTCACGTTATGACTTGTTAAAGCACCAAAAGCATATTGTTCAGCTATTATTTGCAGTGAGTCACACCAGGACACCTAATTCTGCCTAATTAATGAGACTCTTGGCAGCCAGATTATTGGGTTCAAATAGCTAAAACTAATGCAGACTGTCTTGCAGTAAATGGACCATCACAAAGGTTATAATGTTCAGCTATTATTGAAGCCACTGGAAGGGATGAACCTCTCTGTCCTGTGCTGAAAGAAGGACCAGGACTCCAGAGTTCCAGTTTCAGGCAGTTTACTTGATCGAGCAGGGGCGAGGTCAACGACAGCATAGACAGATCAACGTAAAATGTACGTTCTCTCACACAGAAACTGTGCTCTGCAGGTGGTACTTGGTGGCCCCGGCTTATAACCTAAATTTGTCATAATCATCATACCTATCTGGGAATCTCTGACTCCTTCTATAAACCTAAACTAAGCTTTAGACTCCGAATTTGTGGCATGTTTAAAATACTCCTAACCTCTTATGTAGGTCTCGTACTAACCTGTAGATGTCATTTTGTTGGGTATAGACTCAAGCAACAATGTGATATCCTGCAAACTGTAAAGATCCTGCTACTATTTTAAATGTTATAACTAAACCTAAATAAAATGATTACTGGCAAACAGCATTTTAGAGAGGTATTGATTCTGGTGAACTTTACAGTCTGTTAGGAGTTCTGTCTGCATTGATATTAACTGGGTGGACAAAATTTTAGAAACATGCATTGATATTAACTGGGTGGACAAAACGGCTCAGTGTAACATAGTTTAACAGCACCATGAACTGTATCTTCCAAAATGATCATGCAGTTGATGCAACACTTCTCTGAAAGGGTTTGAACAAAAACTGAACATGATCGTCTCCATGAAGGAGGATTTTAATGTAGGACTGTTTTATTAGCCTGCATTAGTGTTTGCTGGGTGTACCTAATGAACTGGCAGCTGGAAGAGGAAAGTGGTGTAATGAAGAATGAAAAGTGGCAGGAGTGTGTGAGTTTTAAGACATTTAGCCAATGTAACTACAATTACAGTGAAAGAATGTAAGATTTGTCTGAATACTTTTGTCCACTGTGGTCATATGATGCATTAGCGCGCCAGTTGACTGTTTGACCTGAATTACTCGACCACTACAAATGAGGATCTTGCATCCAGTACATAACATAGCGTGTGCCTCAATCTGATGGTGTACTTAATTATTTTGATACTTTGCTCTTTAATTAAAATCAATCCCACCTTTACTCCAAAATGTGCAGCAAGCAGTTGAAAAATCTGAGCTAGACCTACTGTCGTGATGGTGACATGGCAAAAACCTGAATGTTGTCTGTTTTGTTGTGAGTCCGTGAATTTAAGATCCTTCCTGTCACTGTCGCCAAAATGAAAATGCTCTCACGCTACACACATTAACCCACAATGTCATCATCTGTACACATCTACATCCGGTAGTCTTGTGTAATGCTGGAGAAAACAGACACATTGCAGAAAAGGAAACACTGAAAAGATAAATAATATTTGCACCATTTCATCTTCACTTTTAATATTTTGTTTCTCTTGCATCGTCCGTGCACTGTATACACTATATTACAGTACAGTAAGTGTAGGAGGATTGTGAGCCTGGGATGAAACGTCTATAAAATATGTATATAAAAAAAAAAATAAAAAAAAATTGTCAAAGTTTGACTGAGCTGAAAACGCCGTCATCAAATGATCCTCAAATAGTTCAGTTTACAGTGTCATGACAACGTAGAGCAGTAAATCTTGTGGCTGAAATCTGCAAATATTTGGCATCTTTCACTGTTTTTGTTTAAAATATCTTTGAAATGATTGTTGCGTGTGATTATATAAATCCTAAGGCTGGCGTCTGTAGTGGGACAGTCACAGTGTTTGCAGCCGAATTTACAGAAATTATTTGCTTTATTGCTGAATCGCTGTTAAGCTGTCTCTTGCAATAACTCACTATAACCTTTGACGTCAGACTGTCCCGCTGTGTTGATGGTAGTGTCTGAAGAACTCTATTTATTCTGTTAGAGAAAACATAACTGACCTTGTTCTTGTTGCAGTTTGGTATGATAGACTAGTAGAGTAGGGACTAATTAATCGGTTTCTGTTTCTCAGGTGGAGAGTCTGTTTCCTGGATCCAGAGTAAATACATTTATTTAAGTTAACTGAGTCTAAGCTCAGTACAAACTGTGGCAAAGACAGAAATGTTTGTTTTTATGGCTCTTCTCAGCTGACGTGCACTAGAGAAAGGACAGACTGTATGTAAAGATGATAGCCTGGTAATTGGCCAATTAAATGTTAACTCAACCAGTTGGACTAGAAAGACAACAGACTTACACTAAATTGGCTCCAGTCTGCACCACCTTCACTCTGAAGAGGAACTTGGTACCAAACCTTTATTTATTCAACATAATATTTTGTCTCTAGGAACTTGGCAGACAGGTGTTAAAGCCACTTCACACCCAGGTTTTAAAAATGTGGAGTTCAGGAGGAATTGTGTGGTCTGTGCTTTATGATATTAACATTAAACATGATGATATGTTTTTAAAAATAGCAACTGTTTTTCAGAAATAATTCTGGACTCTGTCTTACAGGAGAAGAATTGCAGAGAAGGGCTCATCACCTGAACCTGACCAGAGATCAGTAAGTACCATTAGATCCTTCTTGTCTGCTGTATTCATGGGGTAGGACTGGATAAGTCTGACTTCTTCCTACTCCATTCAAGCATGTACTAGGTATAAGCAAATTGATATTGGATTAGCATTTGTTGGATATGTGTAAAATTATGTGTGTTGACATATCAACTGTCTTTACATGCTTGAAAGAATAAATCAAATCAAATCAAAAATCAATAAACCACACACACAGGTATTTAACTTACCACCTAATTAGACTTCCTGTCAGCCACGTGTGTGTATGTACTGTAACTGGCCTTGATTGACAACTCCATCTCTTGTTAGTACTGCTCCACCTGTTGGGGTGGAATGACTTGATCTACTATCATTCTAACTGATCCATAAAGTTTGGTGACTGTTATTCTAAGGAAACAGTATTATGCAAAAGTTTGAGGCTCTTTAGAAATCTGTATTCTCATCCAACAAGCAGGAAGTGGATCACTCCCAGTTTCATTCTGCAGCATGGCTGTTAGTCTGAGATGGACGTTCAGCTCAAGCGCTGGCAAATCAGGATTGTCTAGAACAGCTGCCTGTACCACATCAGTAATCTTTCTTCTTAACACTCTCAATGGTCCCTTTCCTCTCAGTGGACCTGAGCCTTACAGTGCTTTCACAGGAAAATCCGCTTGTGAGGTGTGGACACAAGCAAGAGGGATAAGGGAAATGGCATAGGCAGGGCTGTAAACGTAATCAGGGGCCTCCACACTCTGAAAGGTGCCTCAACAAATAGCAGTCCTACCAAAATGCTTGTGATTTTGTTCTTGTGGTCAACCATATGATTTTTTTTTTTTTTAAGCTTGAAAAGTGTATGTGTATGTGTATGTATCTATGTATTTTCTTTTCAGAGTGCAGAAGCCCCTAAATCAAAATTAGGGGCTATATATATATATATACACACACACACACACTGTGTGTTTCCCTTTTAAAACTCTGCTGTAACTTTCTAAACTAGCTGGGCAATGTTGAGGACTGTTTTCATGGGTGGATGAATATACTTGGTAGTTTACTCACTGGCATACCATGTCTGTGTCACCATAATGAAGGAAAATCCTGGTTTTTAATAGCTCCACCATTGTCAAAACAAACTATGTGGCACACATGGGCACTGCCAGGTGATGGCCAGGGGTGGCACCGGCCCACTACTGGTTCCACCATGGTAAGGCGGTGATATCTCTCACCAAGTATAAGGAGCACAGCCAAAGATGGCTACAGAAATCACTCATTTTTACACAAAATAAACAATTTGAATACCAATACCAATAATAATAATTGTTAATAATAGTTCATAATTTCTTGAAACTGAAGGTTTAATTTACTTATTACATGTATTTGAAATGTGCCACCCCTCTCAAGAGTATGTGCTCCAGGCTGGCCACCCCATCCAACATTTTCTAGATCACCAAAGCGAGCAGTTGTTGCTTGACTGAGTTGTCTTGCCTGTGTGTTTCAGAAATTAAGGACTCACTATGTCTGATGGGGACTATGATTACCTCATCAAATTCCTAGCCCTCGGTGACTCTGGCGTGGGAAAAACGAGTTTCCTATACCAGTACACAGACGGCAAGTTTAACTCCAAGTTCATCACTACAGTTGGAATAGACTTCAGAGAAAAAAGAGTGGTAAGTTCAATCGGTCTGAATCAAACGGCACACTTTCATCAAACCAGCATTGGCATCACTACGATATCCTTTCTTCAGTAAAAGCACACATGGATTTTGCGCTCATGTTTTCTAATGTAACATTTTCTTTAGTTCATTGTGCTACAAGCATTTATGGCTGCTTAAATGCATTCCCACACCGTTCAGTGAAACTCTTGTACCAAAAGAGTACTGATGAAAATTGCAACAGAAATCTGAGTAATGACTGACGCTGGTGAACAGCAACCAGCACCCTCCTTAAGAATAAACACTTCATACCATTGGCAAACAACGGAGTAGTGTTCATATTTACTCAGTATTCTCCCCTTTAATGCCAGTAACCAGCTCAAAAAGCATAGCCTCATGCCTGGAAAAAAACAATTTATCATGGCTGTCCTGGACTTTCAGTTATGTTAAGGTACTGAATGTTCATCATTTCCTATTGTTTTTATTAGATGTCTTTGGGTCTGTTTCTTTGGATAAAATGATAGATACTGCAAGTGAACACTGTACAAGAAAAAATCCAAATGTTTTAACAACTTTGGTTTGAATAGTTGTTGTGATCAGCAAGTTTGTGTTTTCTTTTTTTTTCTCATTCTCATTTATTGTAATTTCAATGACAAATATCAGAAAAGCTGGGCAGAGTGTGGCAGAGCGTAACCGATTGTAGTGAAGCATGGAGAGGGAGTGCTGGGCGGAGCAGAGTGGATTGATTTGAAGTATCATGCTGAACTACCTTAACTTGCATACTGTAATTTTGATGCTAATACTTCAGTAGCCACCTGTGCTGGCTAAGGAAAAATGCATTTCAACCAGTAAAAGTTCTGGACTATTGATGAGATAAAAAAAAAAAAAGTATGGGTCATATTAGAATAAATAAACTGTGCTGTGCAATGAACCTTTTTGTGACAGTTAAGTCTGAGCCCTTATTAAAGTTGCCTCCTAAACTGTTCAACGAAACCGCGTTAACACAGCATCTCAGGCTCTGCAAGCAGCTGCCATCCAGCTCACTGTGAAGCACCAAGTTAATGCTGCTGATCTGTTATAATAAATTCAGATCTATGAAAACATTTTTGTATAGATTAAAAATGTAAGTGTCTTGTTACATCTTAAACCACTGAAATGTGTCCGAAATTTTCAAAATGGTCACCCAGCTGTGTCAGAACAACACTCCGGTCAGTACCAGCGAAGTAACCAGAGCTACCCAGTAGTTTGTGGCCTGGCCTTTGGTTGCTCTCCTCAGCTGAACAACATTCATCAGATAATTAATAAAATAAACTAACAAAAGCAGCTGGACGGGTGTTGCCAAGCCATTCTTGTTCTTCTTGTGTTGTTTCTAGTGAATGGGCAGCTACAAATTTTCTTTAAGCTACCAGTAACAACAAACCTTTTGATTGCTACAAAACGGCAAATCTCAGATTGGGTTGAACATCCAGTATTTTGGCCTAACTTGTCTCTGTTTCATTCAGATATACAGATCAACTGGTTCAGATGGATCTTCAGGTAAAGGACAGAAGATCCACATGCAGCTGTGGGACACTGCAGGACAGGAGAGGTACGCAAACCTCACTACCTCTACTGCAATTCACCTTCCTTAAACCTGTATAAAGTTGTTTTTAAATGTCTTTTTATCATTAATTATATTTCTCATTAAGTAGTTTTTTGTTTTTTTTTTCTTTTTTTTTTCCGATTCAGGTTTCGAAGTTTGACAACTGCGTTTTTTAGAGACGCAATGGGTTTCCTCCTCCTGTTTGACCTCACAAATGAGCAAAGTTTCCTCAATGTCAGAAACTGGATGAGTATGTGTTCTAATATATTGTTTTAAAATGTCATTACCGCTGACAATAATTGGTACAGAATTAGTTTAATTAAGACATATGCAAGTGCACAAAAGCTTCTTGTCTGGTTTATATTAGAACAAAGTTGTGGTTAGACCCAAAATACTGTGATTAAAGAGCCCATGGCATGCTCATTTTGCTCATTTCCAGCCATTTGTTTAATTTGGGGCATTAGTTTTGCACCCATCATAGCTCCAAATAGTGTATAATTATTTAGGAATGATAAAACCAGAGAGCCTCTTCCTAAAAATGAGAGGATAGTTCATGAACATGCACAACTCCTGTTGCTGGTGTTGTCGAAAGTGGACAGTACAACCAACTGTGACGGCATTAATTAATGTGAATTTTTCCTTCATAGATAGGTAAATGACAGTATATGTACCGATGAAAAGAGATGTGTAACGTTCAACAAAGCAGGCAATTGAGAAACCCTGTATTTTAACTGTCACAATGCAGACATAGTACCTTCTCAAGCCTTACAATAATTCTCTCTAACATTATGGAAACAACACATTAACAGACATGTAATGTGTGTTTGTTTTTGTTGTTGTCTTTCAGGTCAGTTACAGATTCACGCATACTGCGAAAATCCAGATGTTGTTCTCTGTGGCAACAAATGTGACCTGGCAGATCAGAGAGCCGTCAGCGAAGAAGAGGCCCGTGAGCTGGCAGAGAAGTATGGGTATGTCTTAGTCATGATCCATCGGTAGATGAACCTTTCCCTCAGTTGTTTGTCAAGAAGGCAGTGGCTGCATTGTTTGCTAGTCTGTGCAGGAGAATGTCGCACTAACCCGATCCTCCTTGAAATGCAAATATTTGTGCTCATGTCATATCTCCTGCTCTGGCCCTGTGAGACACACCTGTACTAAAAACACATATTGTAGCAGGTGTGCACTTTATAAAATGTTTTAAATTCCCTCAAGAGGAGGATAAGCTTCACTGTAATATATAACTTGTCTCCTCATTTGCTTGCATGGTGACCTGTTTGAAAGATTCCTAGTTAAAGCTAGATGTATGAATCATAGAATTGTATCAAACCTGTGCTTTGATTCCAATGCTTTGATGCACATGGGAATCGGATCTGAGATTAAAATTTATGTTTTTAAGTTTAAAGTACTGGGCTGATGACATTTATTTTGCTTGAAGAGACCATAACAGCAATAAATTGCTCCTGTTATCAAGTACTGTCTGTGGAGGCTGATGCAGCCTTTTCTCTGTGCCACAGGACTCCACTGTTATCCAGAAACTATTAGAAATACATAAGGAGCCGCCCTGTTGCACCATGTGACATATTCTGAGTTGATCTCCCATACACCATCCTGCTGCCATAAATACTACCCAGCACAGAGAGACTGTATTAATCTGAGGCTGAAAATAGTTCCCAGCAAAAGCACTGTTCACTACTGTTTTGAGAGTTATTTAAAATGCCGGTATCCAGCTGAAAAAATACTCAGTTGTCTATTAGGTTCACCGAGCTAAAACTAATGGTGATAATGTTCAGTTTTTGTTCAGACTGTTTCAGAGAGGTGTTGATTCAACTGTATGGTCGTTGTGGAAGATGTGTCGAATGTATTTGGAAGAAGTGGTAGGTGTTAAACTGACAGTTGTTTCTATTACTTTTTTCCAGCCTGATATATATTAATGAGGTAAGACTTAATAATGAAAACACCTGTTTAATGCAGTACAGTTCAACAGCAGCATAAAACACATCTTCTAAAATGACCAAACAGGTCACTGAACACCTCTTCAAAAAAGCTGAAGGAGGATTTATTGCCCAGACTGAAGGTATATTTGTGAGAAATGTTTAAAGATTTTCACCTCCTGTAGGGATGAACAGGTGTGGGAAAGGAAAAAAAACAATAACTATTTAAATTGATTAGAGGATAAGCCCATTGAGATGTCCCATCTGGTTTTGGAGGGGATCATTTGAGTTCCTTTGTTGCTGTTGCCCAGAGGTTTGTCTTGCATTGTACCCGGTAGCAGTAATTTATGATCCAATTTTTATAGCCAATATTTTCTTCCTTGTAGAATCCCATACTTTGAAACCAGCGCTGCAAATGGGCTGAATGTCAACAAGGTCGTGGACGTCCTGCTGGATCTTGTCATGAAGAGGATGGAACGATGCGTTGACAAGTCCTGGATCCCTGATGGGACTGTTCGAGCTAACGGACCCCTCAACCCAGATAGCTCAGAGAACTCGGACAGAAACAAATGTGCATGTTAGAATGATGCTCAACCATTTCAGCTACTTATGTGTCCATAATGGTGTAACAAAAACAACAAGAAGATTTCCAAGTTCGATTTTTCACAAAGTGGCAATATAATGTTTTGTGTTAGATAGACCTTGGCATTAATTTGTTCATTGCCCCACAGACTTGTTCATACTTTTAATGACCTGCTGTGTTTTCGTCAGCACAAAGCTAAGTGCCTTTTGAATATAGACATTTCCATCAGGATTAATATCATGGGTCTACTGAATAATGAATTCATTCTGGTTGTCAATGTGGGGTATTTGTTATTTTATGATGCCTACTGTAATTGTCCAGCTTTGAATATGCTTATCACATTTTCAGGTATAAACTTTGTGCTCCCTTTTGCTATGAGAGTGCTGCTGTGCCACATGTGCTATAAATATACTGTTAACTCTTAAATTTGTGTAAGGTTAATGTAGATTCACAAGAAAAAATGCCATCTGTATATATCTTTCTACAACCACATGCCACATAAGTGTTGGGGAAGAGAAACTGGCTAAGCTTGAACCCTTAGGTAACCAGTTATGTTCTACTGCTACTCTATGTCCATTTGAATACTGCAATCTCACCAGTGCCACAACCAGAAAATGAATAGCTCACATGGACCATCCAGTATTTGCTAGATGGACATTCAGCACTCATTTATTTTCTCTTCTAAATCAGTGCTTGTGCTTGTTTGCTTGCAAAATGTCTAAGTTGTCAACACTTTATGTACAGTAATTACAAAAATTGGATGTTCAGTAGTTTGCTAAGATGAATAAACATGTCATACAAAGCAATAATAATAACCCAGGTATTTGAAGTAGTTCATCTTGTTGTGTAAAAGACCTATGCAAAAAGAAACATTTTAAAGATATACAGTAAATACAAAATGCTAAATGTTATCTATCTTCTGTGCATTTTTTTAACTGCACTGTACTCCCAAAGTACCCCACACAAGATCCCATGAGGGACCCTGTTGTAGGCCCTCTCCAAATCCACAAAACGCATGTAGACTGGGTGGGCAAACTACCAGGGTCCCTCTAGTAACCCTGCAAGGATAAAGAGTTGGTCTCTTATTCCACTACCTGCCTGGAATCTGCATTGTTCCTCCTGAATCCGAGGTTTGACAATCAGTCGGAGCCTCCTTTTCAGCACCCTGGCATAGGCTTTCCCATATAACATATTTAATTATTAGTTATTTATCAGGCGTAGGTGTCATGAATAGGATTTAATTGTATATGAAGATATAAGCGCCTCCCCCCCGCGCTCTATAGTTGATCTATACTCCAATTCAGCAGGTGGCGGTAATGCACCATAACCTGGTATGCAAGCTGCCAATAAATAGGAAGAAGAAGAGGCAGCAGTAGTGTAGGAGCGTTTGGGAAAGTGGGTTATGTGAGGCTTTTAATCTATTTTGCTTACTTTTATAATTCACCACCGATTTTGTTTTAGCTAGGTTCGGGGTTTCAGTACTAGCCCGTGCTCATACCAGTCAGCAAGACGATCCTTCTGCCTGAAGCTCAGTACGTAGCGTTAGTTCTGTTTATATCTTTAAGAGCATTTGGTTTCATTTTTAGCTAGCTAGCATTAAGTTGTTTGGTCACTGTGATGTTTTTCCTCAACGACAGTCATGCTGAAACAAACTAAAATTGAAACGGGGCCTTTAGGTGTAATGGTGTGGTAACTGTAGAGTTTAGAATCTTTTATTTGTCATACTGCTGTTGCAAGCTAATGGTAGGTGGCTAACATGACCTTAGCTGATAGTTCTTGGTTTAGTGTCATGTTTAAGTTACTTAGCTGGCATGAGAGCAAACTGACATTTAGCTTTAGGTCGGTTTTCTGTCTTACACAGCTCTGTCAGAAGTCTAATCACGTTTAATATAATATATTGTGTTCTCTGTAACTTTGATTGCTTAAATTGTTTTCTAAACAAACCAAACAGTCTATTGGGAAACTACTTAGGAGATAAATCTATAAATTAAATGATATAGCTCATCAGTAGTCTTATTGGCTTTACCTCAACAAACTGCAACAGTAAAATATAAAACACATTGATGCATGGGTAATACGAATCTAGTAACATTATATACAGTAGTCACATGAGCAGTTTTTCCGCATTGACTACACATGCTTTTAATATGTTAAGTACATTTTATTGATTATGCTTGCATGTGGTTACACATCAATATATGATTTTTTTTTTGTAATGGAGTATTTTTAGAGTGGAATTAGTACTTTAAAAAGTTTGAGTAGTACTAGTATATAGGGTTTTGTTTTGTTTTTTTTTTGTTTTATGTTGTGACACTCAACATCTTTGTTGGCCAGTATGGGTAGAAACATACTATTAATTAGACTTCTAACTTGATTTATTAAACCATTGTATAAGAAAGCATCAGGTGCGATAATAGCCAGTTGTCTTGTGTATTTATCTGGAGAAGACTGTGGGTTGAGTGGGTTCCCCAGATTATCTCCACAGAGACATTTAATGGCACTGAGGATAGATGAATGTGTTTTACTTTTGCAGAATGCCTTTCCATTTCTGCCCCCAGTGTGGGACAAGGTTGCAGCCTGGTTTCAAATTTTGTCCCTCATGTGGGTCAGAGCTTCCCTGTCATGCTGAAGAGCCTGTGACCTTCCCCGCCTCTTTAAGCCTCTTTCCATCTAAAAAGGTAGAAGCAGCAACATCTAGAGTTAAAACAAACACAAGTTGTGAGCCCACAGACAATAAAGGTAAATACCTTCTATCTAGGAGTTGCTTGATGTTACCCATAGAGTTTAGATTTTATGGTTGTAGTCCTTTGAAAATGTAAATTCTGTTTTTCTACAGTTCACACAAGTATCTACCCAATTCCAAGTCTGACTCGTTCAGCACTGCGACAGACACGCCATGACAGGGAAGTTAAATTCAACATTAAAGATCCAAGTGTTGACATGACTGAAGGTAATTTAATGGTGTAGAAGCAGTTTTGTCTTACAGGTTTTTTGGTTTTCTTTTTTTAGTTTTCTGATGGGTATAAGGGAAGGAGTGCAGAGCGTGAACATATTGATGAAGGGCCTGCGTGCTTTTTTTGTGTTAGTTGATTACCACCACCACCACAATGGCATCTAGCTTTAAACTCAATGCTTTCACCTACTCTTTCAGGCAAAAAATAATGCATGCTGATGAATTAAAGTGGCGTTTTTATATGTGTACGTATGAGTGCTGTAGGCGCCTTGTAAAATAAAAAAATTAAAGATGACTGGTGTCTTGATCCTTGAGAAGAAGATAGCTTTGTTTTGTATTGACAGATAATAGTACTGGATTCCAGGCATCTCCACCAAATCCTCATACAGTCACTTTCAAACTCAACGCAGAGGTAGAGCCACCTTTACAGTCTCTGTTTTCTCCCATCAGAAAATGTCCTCGACTTGGTGAGTTGAAATACAAAACAAACACTGTGTTTTATGTATTCATTCATACAGTGCCATATGAAAGCTACAGTATCTCTCTTCTTTGCTGTCATATCTTTTCTTTAATACATATTTGTTATGGCTGGATCAATGTGTAGCCAAAGGAAAGGCCAATGTCTCCAGCCCTGCTACAAAGAAGATGGAAGAAGGAAAGAGGCTGACTGATATAAAAGCTGACAGAGCAGAGGGATCAACAGTAGATGGCTCTCCTGTAGCTGTCCTTTCTCCTGTTTCCTCACCAGTCTCCAGGTCTCCTTCAAAAGGTAAGATGTTACACACACACATTTGTCCATGTATAAGGTAAATTCACTAGTTCGCTTCAGTCTCTCAGGAGGGGCTGCTTACAATAGATTCACATGTCTGTGTCATACACTTACAGGTAAAAGCAAAGCCAAGAAGACAAAGCATGCATCTCCTGTGGAGCCACTACATGAAGGTGTGGAGGTGACAGACACAACGGGCAAGAAGTGGAAGCTGATGAAACTGCTCAGTCAGAGCACAACAGAGGTCATCTATGAAGGTGAGACTGTACACAACAGGTGCAATAGAAGTAAAGTTAGTCTGTTATTCTGGAACAGTTTGATTGCATATTAGTAATGACAGTCTCTCTGCCACCTGTTAAATACCTTAAAGCAGATATAAAGCATTTTAAAGTTAAAACAAGACAAGTTACAACAAACCACAAATAAAGAAATGTACAGTTGACATGTAAAGAAAAAGTTTTAAAGTTATATTTTTGGGGAAAAGATAAATATTCTGCAGGGGATAAAAGTATTTATAAAAACTATTTAGAGGACTGTTAGAAATTAACCCAGTTCTTTTGTTGGAAGCACGAGAAGTGAAGACAGGAGAGGACTGTTTAAACCCTCAGGAGTTCTTCAGGGACAAATTTGGGTTTTGCGATATCTTTTTCAAGCCATTTTAGCTGTGCTGAATGAATGTAGCTCAAATTTGCTACAGGATATTTATTTTTTAAAAACTTAAAAATTGTGGTCTCACTTCCTTAAATTAGCCTAAAATGACAAAACTACAAAAATACTCACACTTTTGATCTTCGGGACAAATTTGTCCCCATTTAAACCCATTAAAAACACTATGTGGTGACCGACCTTCAGGGTGTTGCTGCTGCTGCAGGCCCTTCTCACAGCAAACCAAGGGCAGAAAGCCATGTTTCTTTTGTAAAGACAAGAGAAAAGCAGGACATGTATGCTGCAAATGTGAGAGGTTCCTGTGCAAGGACCACAGCATGTGGATCTGCAGCCCTTGCTCAGGAGCAGGAGAGTGAGGTGTTAGTGTTCAATATTTAGTGTTCATCTTTGTAAAATAAGTGTTTTCTGGTTCAAACTGATCTTGCATTTGAAATTTATTTTTAGAACACAACAGGGTAATAATAATATATATTTTTACAGTTGTTTTTGGGAAGTGGGACAAATTTGTCCCGAGGGTAATCAGTGTACAGTGATATTGTAATTCTGCTACTGCATAAAATTAAAAAATGCATCCAAATCAGTGTTGCTACCAACCATTGACCCATCTCAGGGCCTAGTAGTAATAATAATAATAATCAAATACTGGTTGAAATGTATTTTTTGGAAAATATCTTAGTTTGTTTTTTTTCCATAAAAAACAATGGAGTTATGTAAACATACTGGCATAGAAAGGGTTAAAAATTCCAAAAATATAATTCATGTTTAATATGTATATTTCAGGCAGGAGTAGTTTTAAATGATTGGCTCATTTAAAGTGGAAAAAATTATGAATTTATAATAATTTTACACCCTTATGTGAGCCATAGGACAAATTTGCCCTAAGGGTAACCAGTGTACAGTGTTTTAGAAGATCCTCTGAGGTTTTAAAACCAACAGAAAGTTTACTGAAAGTCTGATCACAGGTAGGCCTTACAGTGCTGGGATCAGAGGGACAGAGCTCCCACAGGAGTTCCATCCACTGAACCCCAAATTAAGGTCTTACAATAAATTTTATCTTCTTGGGCTGCTTCGCCCTGGACAGAGGTACAACATTCAACAGCTTTTTGATCCTATTGTCCATTTGGTGTGAACCAGAGCTCCCCCTTGTTAGAATGTGGTAAAGTCTAGGTGTGTGTGTGTGTGTGCACGTGTCTCTCAGGTTGTAGCCCCCCTGTGTGTGTAAGACACCCCCTGGTGAGGCAGAACTTGGGATATGCTGTGTGGGTGTGAAACGGGCCAGCAGGGCTCTGTTAAAATGTAAATAGGCTATCTGGTCACAAAGAGATACAGACATCTAGTCTCTACAGAAGTTACAGCATTCAAAGTAAGCAGGTTCTACTTCATTACAGTTATAAGATATATACGCAAGAGAAATAAATGTATTAAAATAACCAAAGCTCAGTAGTTCTGGACAATCAATACAGCTGTAATATGTATAAACAATGAAAATAAAGTTATGAAATGTAACTAAAGGGAACTAAAGGTATGAGAAGTAACTAAAGCTTACAAAGTAACTAGAGTCTATAAGACTCAAATCTTACAGTACAATTTATATATTTAAGAGTTTCAAGTTCCTATTAGCTTTATTAAAGCAAACACAGAGACATGGCTAAGCAAGTTTAGTAGACCGAGGTTCAGATGTCTCTTACAAAACATAAAATAGTATAGAAGAGGCTGTGTCATCATAATTGAGTAATAATATTCCGCCCTTTTCAGTTCTGCCAACAGCTTCACAGGCCAATTCCAAGGAATCGGATCACATCCTCAAGCTGGTAAGTGCCGCCTCCGCATTTAAGCTTAAGGTTTTCTGAGTACTCCATCCAGAACTAATGAATGATCATCACACCATGTCAAAGAGTTGCTGGGAATAAGGAAATGATACCAATTATATATTCAACAACAAATTGATTTGTAGTTATTGTCTAATTCCTGTAACCAACGCTGCTTTAGTTCTTCAGTTTCCCTGAGTGGGATCTGTAAAGTTTCTTATGTTTCTTCATCTTAGGGAGCTAAAGATGGACGAATCTTCAATGAGCAGAACTTTCTGCAAAGAGCTGCCAAACCTGCATCTGGTGAGGGTTTAGTGTGTTTAGCACATCTAAATGAATAGTTTGTTTACTTCCCAAAAAAACATGTGTAATGTCACTGATTATGTCACTGCATTGATACCTTTACTCTAATTGTTCTGATAACGACAAGAGAAGTGTACTTTGTTGAAGCAAAGGCAGCAGCAGTATTTATTGCTTGTAAGAGTTTTTCAGGACTTATATTTAACAGGTGACAACTAGAAATGAGTCGGACACAGAACCATTATCAAACTACAGACTGAAGCAGAGAGAGTAAGAAGAGTTCCTGGTAGTTTCAAATGTGATCTAGTTACACAGAATCGTGTAAAAAAATATCTCTTCATTTTATAATCTGCTCAGAGCAAAGCAGAATTGGACAAGAACTTAATAAAAACAACATAATCAGTCTGGGGGACAAATCCTTAACCTTGTTATTAAAACCTGGTGTCTCTCTAGTGGGCAAGTGGATCAAACAGAACAAGATGGACTTTCTGGGGATTCCTTCCTGTGTTGGCTTTGGTCTTCATGCAGATTCCTACAGGTGTGGAAAAAAAATGTTCAGCTGTAAATATTTACACATATGAAAGTGGTTTACATGACCGTGTTCCTTTTTTCCAATAGGTTTCTGATTTTCTCCAACATGGGCCAGTCTCTCCAGTCTGCCATTGAGCATGATCGTCTGTCTGAGAGGGCTGTTCTTCAGCTTACCTGTAGAATAGTGAGTGTTCTGTGAACTTGTTTGGTTGTCAGACAGTACAAAAGCTACTCTACCTAATTTCTGACACCATAAGCCGTTTTTTTCCCCTAACTTTATTTATTCAGGGTGGGCCACCTCTCTTTTGCAGGGGTGCTCTGTTTACATTCACACCTGGAAGCAGCCCAGTACAACCACAGACTGACCTGTGACCGCTGAGCAGCTCCACATTAACAGTTCTTTCTTTCTTACAGTTAGATGTTCTGCAGTATATCCATTCAAACGAGTATGTTCATGCTGATATTAATGCAGAAAACATCTACATCAAACCAGGACAGAAATCACAGGTGAGAAATATTCTGAAGCACAACCTGTATTCTGTCACTGTCCATGATTTTAAATGTGCTGTACTGTATGCTGACCACTGTGTGCCTGTGTTGTTAGGTATACCTCGTAGGATACTGCCACGCCTTCAGGTACTGTCCAGGAGGCCAACATGTCGAGTACCGTGAAGCCAGCAGGATGCCACATGAGGGCACCATAGAGTTCATTAGCTTGGACGCACATAAGGGAGCAGGTGCGTGACTCCTCGTCCAAGAACACAAGCACTCCGACCGGTGTCAGGAAATTAGATACTGTAAACTACACACTGTCAGATTTTTCATTCTACCATGAGGACTGCAGTCCTCCCCCACAGTCCATCTGTCTGTGAGCCACTTCAAGGCTTCACATAACAAGGCTGATGAGAGGTTTTCTTCTGAAGCTGATTGTGATATGCTGTAGTGAAAAACAATATGAAATGAACCTCTGGGGACAGTTTGTTGTGTTGTATGTATCAGGGTAAATCTAGGAGGGAAAACAGATGTTTTAAACAGTGTGTGTTTTGTCCTTTCAGCTCCGTCTCGACGCAGTGACTTGCAGTCTCTGGGTTACTGTATGCTGCAATGGTACACAGGGGCACTACCGTGGATTGGCCTCACTCAGCCAGACCAGGTGGCAACCTGGAAACAAACCCGAGAGAGTTTATCACCACTGGAATTGGAATATTTAAAGTCCACACACCTTTGAAACACCATAGAAATACAAAATCATATCAAATCTCTGCTTCGTGTCTGTGTGACATTAACTGATATTGTTTGATTTAACAAACATGTACTATGAAGGAAAAGGCACATTACTGAAACAAAGTTATCATTGTAGGTTCATGGAGGATGTTCCTGCGCTGTTGAGTCACTGCTTTGGGACAAAGAAAGTTTCCAGTCAGTTAAATGTTTCTTATATAACAGATAGTGTGTGATTACATGCAGTCTCCTCATAGTGTATTTTCTGTGTGTATGTGTCGCGATGTAGGTGCATTTCAAACCTACCTGACTGCAGTGATGGCTCTGCAGTACTCTGAGGAGCCTGACTACTCAGCGTTGAGGGCCAGACTCAGCGCCGCCTTACTGCAGCTCGGGGGATCACTGGAGCAGCCGCTGAGTGTTTAGGTGAGGACGCACAACTCTGCAACGCAGAAACAACTGTGTATACATGCGCTTGCCAAACCGCGTTCTGGTTTTACACCACTGGGTTTGGAGACTTTGTTTTCAGTCTTTTATGAGAAAACTGCAGAATATTTAATATGTTTTTCTAACATTATTTTGTTCACTGAATAGAAGATTCAGCTCCCAGTGTTGACATCCAAGGCTTTTAGGCAGTGACACATTGTGTTCTGTTTTGGCTTCACATTTCACAAAGACAAAAGAAGGGTTATTGTGATCTTTAATTTACTGCAGCTCCTCTTTACATAAAATACTGGTTTAGGTTACCAAGAGATTAGCTGAAAACTACTTGTATTGAGTCTTAAAAATCATTTAGTTTACCTTTTAGCTTGTACTTAAATATTATGAAATCCCGAAACCTTTTTTGTCAGCAGTCAATAGTTTTCTGTGTATTGTTTCTTTTTTTTTTTTTACTGAAATACAGTATGTGCAGAGGAGTTCACATGTTTTTCAGTCCTAAGTAGTTCCTGCATGCTACAACCTCCACCAGTCACAGACTAGGGCAGTAGCCTTTACCTGACAGGCAAAGTCCAGGGCAAACAAAAGTTCTAATCATCTGCTGCTGTTCATCATGTTTACTGTAACTGCTGTGAGCACACGGTAATAATAAAAACCTAGATGAATATATGAACATTTTTATAGTAACAGTAATAGAAAATAAAACCTAAACAAACTATTTAGACCTTATGTCATCATTAAGTACTTCATGCATTCTGTGTAATATAAAATATATCTGCTCTGTTTTTATTTTCAGATACACTGAACAAAAAGAAGATTTGGAATTGGAAGATTTACTTTTTAACATACTGTGTTTTATCTGTGATGTTTTGTAGCACTGAAAGTATGATTCTAGAGTTTAATATGTGCGGGTGACACTTCAGGTTAACACGTTTTCATTAGGGTGAACATTTTGAGCATGTGTGGTTTCTCAAATTGCACTCTGGTTTTTAAGCATTACACATGAGTTGGAGCGAGACGTCAGATGACACGGACAATGAGTTAGTTATATGAGCCACATGTTCTTAAAATACTTTTCTGGTGTTAAAACCAGCTGCGTTTTATTTTTTCTGTTTGACAGATTTGATAAATTTACCTCTGAATCTGGGCAGCATGGTGGAAAAAGTGATTGGTGTTGTCACCTCACAGCATGAAGGTTCTGTGTTCGAGCCCCAGCCGAACCTTTGTGTTTAATACAATGCAATGCTAGAAATTGCAACGCAGTTGTGTAACGTTAAGATTTTTAAGGAAACGCACTCAAAAACATGACGTGTGAAATCGATCTTGCATAGCTCAAAGCCTCTGTGTCTGTGTACTTACTTAGGGCATGTTCGGGCCCTACGAACCAACACAGATGTGGATTAACACACTTCCCTGTAAGCAGACATTGAAGCTTGAATAAAAGGGCAACCTTTTATACAGAAAACAGTGCCTTAGTGTCCTTTGCCCTTCAGTTCTTCTCTCTGAAAGCCAGAAAGCACCAGAAATCTTCAACATAAGTGTTTAAAAATAAATACTTCAGGAAATGCCGCAGGCCTAATTACAGCTCATACACATGCCAATTCATTCAACACAACAATAGACATGTTAAAGAAAACTTTATAAAGTTTAAACATTTCTGAACATAAACATTTCAAGACATATACAATTTTTATATGAAACAGTAAATAACTCTTGTTGTGCACACTCTTAAAGTAAGTCAGAAAATAAACACTAATCTTTTGCCTGACCTCCTGCTGTGGCATTTAAAACCGTACATCTCTCACTTGAGGCACTTTCTGAATGACAAGGCTTTTGTAGAACAAAGTTGAACACAATGCAAAAAGACTATAGCGCCCCCAGGAGGCAGCCTTTGTACACAGTCAGCTAGAGACCCGATGGCTTCTTTGCACTGGAGTTTAGCTTACACAATTTAAACTGTTTAGTTGAGCTTTTTATACAGACATGCTGGCAGTGTGAGGCAGCTACACATGCAGGTTTAAATATAGTTTTACACTGCAGACTGTTTTCATGGTTGGACCAAAGTGAGCTTTGAAGAGCAAACATCTTTCCTTCATGTGTTTATACTTGATATAACTCTTCTGACAAACATCGCATGATGTTTTTTTCCTGTTCTGCTAACAGTGAAAGAGCTCTGGGCTGTACACCGATTTAACACTGAATATTACAACCTCAACAGTTTTTCCATTTCCACAAATGCTGAGGTTTGAAAATCTTATAAAGCAACTCTGTAAGCAATTGTGGTTCTGTGGAGACTGAAGAATTGCATCATTTTAAAAACCATTTCCAAATGATTAGATTACATAAAGAATGCACTGTGATGAAAGCAAAAACAAGGCAGCTCATAGCTGTTCCTGAAATGTTTACACACTAGGACACTGGATTTTCACATGACAGGAACAGTTTGTGAAAGTATAAAGTTTAGTGGTATCCCACTTTAACACAGGCAACACATGTGTGTTGAGGGAGTTGTGTGTTTTCAGTCATGACTGAGGTGCAGAAACCCAAGGTTTACCGTTCTTGGTGAAAACAAGGCAAATACGTGCACAAACTCCACCGTGACAGAAGAGCTTGTTTGTCTGAGCAGTAAGTGGAACATCCTCAAGGCCTCCAGTCCCACACAGTACGAGGGAGATGGCATGAACAGATCAGCGGAGAAATGATTTCACCTCAGTGACACAGTGTCACTAGAGGACAGCAGTAGCCAAATGGCTGGGAGTAGAGGGACGCTCATCCTGATCTTGTGATCTGTCTTCTCCTGAAAGTTTAAAACAGGGCAGATTAAACTTCTTACACTTGATATTCTGGTGTTACGTGAACAAGAAACTCCTCTCACCATGTTCTTCCTTTCCCTTTTCCTCACTGGGCTCCACCTTATCCTCGGACACTTCAGTCTGACCCAAATCCTGCACATCCTCTGCACCTGACTCCTTTTGGGGGAAAAAAGGTTTCTGGGTTAACATAAAGACAGATTGAAACAGCTGACTGCCTTAAGTGTTCAACAGGCACTCTGTTTACCTGTGATTCAGAGAAACGGTCTTCATCCGAGTTCCTGAATCCCTCTGGGGCTTCCATAAGGATCTCGAGACCGCCCGCCTCCTCCACGTCGCTGCTGAGTGACAAAAAGTAGAACAATGTGCCAAAGAAATGCATGTTTTACAAAATGTACAATGTGGGAAAGTGCATTCAGGTCATGGCTATTATATATATCAATTATAGCTACTTTAACATTAGCTAATTTAGGTTAATTAAAGGATAGCGTTGAGCGTAGCCATCTTAGAAATACTGCATGTGTGGACACTAACAAACTGGAATAACTGGAGATTTTCCTGTTTTTACTCTTCAGTTTACCAGTTACAACAAGATGTGAAACTGATGCTAATTTTATGAAGTTTATTCTTGGAAATGGATTTTGTTTTATGTGACAAAGTGCCTAACAGCCACAACACTGACCTTCCTCCAGAGTAGAAATGATCTTCTTCCTCCATTTTGTTTAGCTCCTCTTCACGTTGCTCATCCTCCTCTTCCTTTTTTTCTTCATCTTCCTCTTGTTGCTCATCTTCCTCTTCCTGCTCATCTTCATCAAGGTCAGAGCAGTTCAGAAAGTCGAAACTTTCCAGGGCCGTCTCAACTTCTTGAATGAAACTTGAGGACGTAGGAAAAGGAACCTATGGAAGAGAAATCAGTGTTTAAGGTGTCACTATCGACACTAGACGGTACACAGATGAACTTATGCTTGAGCTCACCGTTGGAGCATCCTCTGGTTGTTTTAACTCCTGGATGGACTGGTGTGGCTGACTGGGTTCCCCTGGTGCCTCCTCTTCAGTGCTGGGCACTATTTCTGCTTCAGTCTGCTGAGCCTGTACTGACAACTCTTCACATGGATTTATCTCTTCTGCTGAAATGCACAGTGGTGGGATGCCACTTTCAGTCTCACCTGGTCTCTCTACCAATGACACAGGAGGAGAGGAGATGTCAGGGTATGAGCAGCTCAGGTCTGCTGAGCTTTTAGAGAGCTCAGCTGATTGGACAGAGGCTCTAACAGTCACAGTACAGTCCGGGATGCTCTCGCCTACGTGGCTGTGAGAGCAGGAAGTCTGCAGATGGCCGTTAGGTATGGCATCTGTCTGAGAGAAAACCTCCCCGGCTTCTGTCTCATCCTCCTCTTGGTTGGACGAGAGCGATGGTGTCGACGCACTGGACTTGTGCAGAGTGGACGACAGCTGACTGGCGAGAGCGGTTGGCAGCATGTTGGAGGCTGTCAGCTTCTGAGCATGATGAGCCATGGCCGGACTGGAGGAGTCATCAGAGGATTCAGAGGAATTGGACCAGACTGTCCCATTCTCAATTTCTCCTTGTCGCTTCAGCAGAGACTGGAAACGACAGAAATACACAGAGAAGCAATAGATGAGAAGTGGAGACAAGTACTGAGAAAGCAACATATGATGAATACAGCTGACAAAATCCTCAGTGAACAGCTAAAAACATAACAGTAATATAAAATCTATTTTATGTAGGACTAATAACAAATGCCAGTTCTTTTATTTCAGCATGGCTATACAGCGTTGAACCAGCACAATAAGTGCAGAGAACAGACTTTCAGTGGGATGAAGACATGGGAATCGGCTAAAGTCAGGAGAATGTTACCATCATGCTCTTGAGTTTACTCAAGTCATAAATGTTAAAAGCCTTGCACCAGTGTAAAGTTACTTCAGTGTCATTTAGTTTAGTGTTGTTTCTAATTTCCACAATCCCTGTAAATGGCTGATTTTTAAAAGCGCTGGTTTAACAGGAAAACAAATGGGATGTGAAACCTCTTCTGCTTCAACAAGGGGGCAAGACAGAAAAATCAGTCCTGTCAGGGTACTGACTAACACTTGGAGTTTTACACATACAGGTTTATTTTTAGCTTCTACACACATATATCATGTTGGCAATGTTAATACTATGCATCACTTTTGTCTCTGATAACTTGTGGTTAGTTATTTTTAGTATCTTATACACTAAATGATTAACTTCTGTCATTTTATTGATTTTTAATACATTTAAATACATTATTACATTTATTTCTTTTCTTGTATGGACCTTGAGTCTGCTAATAAAGGCTGATGATGATGATGATGATTAAACAGAAATACACCCATACTGGGCCTGAGGAAATGCCCTTGATTTTCTTCAGTTTAGATTCAATTAAAACATGATCAGGCTTTTTCTATTTGGATCCCAGATTTGATTGCAAAATAACAATTTTTTTTAAAAAAAAAAAACATTATTAATATTATTGGTCTACAGCTACATCCCAACACACCGACTGTATGGAGGGGAATCGGGGGGCCGTATGGCTGAATTCACAGCGTAAGGATGCCGTCCTGTCCGCCACGATGTCGTGGAACACCTCCACCAGTGAGCGGCTCTGCCTGGGCCCATCATGTGGCATGCTCTTCAGCAAGGTGAGGAAGAGGAGGGACACATTGGAACACTACTCGACCACTATTAAACAGCTACAAGGACCACAGCTCCGATCATACATACTGGCACTGTCATACACCCCTCTACTGCTATCATTCATTCTCCTCGCGTCAGGCAAGCCACTCCCACAGCCACAAGTCCTAACACACATTCCTCTGTGAATATCCTCACACACGTCAGTGCTACTGCTACACACAAAGCAATTGGGGAGCAGCTGGAACAAAAAAAGGCAGTGAAGTGACAGCAACAAGAGCCATCAGTGAGACAACTGGAAAATATGAAATATGTAAATATGAAGTAAATACAGATTCACAAGGCTGTTACAAAGCAGGCACTGGTTTCACAAAGACTGTAGTGTTGGACCAGTCTTAATTGTTCTCTTTCACTGTGAGCAGTGTTTTTTTTTTTTTTGGGGGGGGGGGGAAAAACAAATCTAATAATTTTACCCAGAATAAAGGGTATAGATATATCGCCTATCTTTAATCTGGCTATTAATTTGATATAGGCCATATTCAAGGTCTGTTATTGTGAAACTGTCCCCTGTGGTGTAACAGCAAGTGTGAGTGCAAATTGTTGAAGTTGGATGTCTTTGACTCACATAAAACACCTGCTCCCGCATAGAGGGTGTGTCTGGAGGGCTCTGATTGGACAGCAGCCGCTTAGAAACTGTACTGGTGCATGACATCTGGTCATCCTTATCAAATGGACTGAAAGAGGTAAAACAGGATAAAGAGTTAGAGATATGGGAAAGACACTCAAATAGACAATACAAATGCCGAATTAGAAGAACCGAAGATGCTGAGGTGTGTGCTGCAGGTCTGAGTACCTCCAGGTGACCTCCAAGTTCAGCTTAACTGTCCCGAGGTCATTGATATCCACAGCAAGTGTCTGTGGGAGCGGGCAGAACAGGTCGAGCATTTCGCAGGACACACTGCCCACCACAACGTGATTGGCCAGGCTCTTCAGCTCAGTCACCTTGACAACCAAAACAGAGAGAAATGAGGACAGGCGGAAACAATGGAGATGCAACAGGGACGAAAATTTGCTAAAGCTTTTGACCACAGTCGCAGCAAGGAACATTTCTGATAAGGCTGATGATAATTCTTACTGTTAACAAACCCCATGAAAAGACCAAAACCAACAATGAACTGATTCTACTAACAAGTATTTCCTGCACATTCAGTGGCTGAGTTCTCTGCCCCAGAGACTGTCACTGTTAACAGCTATTAAAAACACATCAGTAGGTCTAAATCACAGCATAGCACTAAGTGACATGTACCTTTATTACAACAAACATGGATATGAAAACCTATCTTGAGTCAGCCCCTCATACACCATCCATACTACAGCAATAAATGTGGATTCATTCAGAGCTAAAAAAGAAAAGTCCTTAACAAAGGCACAAATTTCTCCTGTTTGAGCAACATTTGCAAATACCTCAGCCGGTTTAGACAATTATTTTTCTAAACAGAATCGGAAAGTTAATGACCTGTGATTCAAAATGTCTATCTTTAATTGGAACAAATGGACTGAAGGACGAATGCCACAGAAAGGGTAGTAAGAAATACTGAAATATATACTATCACTTACAGTAAATAAGTAAATACAGAACGATGCCAGCCTTATCCTTTAAAAGTCTATTTCATTACCTTGATTGACAGCAGGTCTGTGACGAGAGGCAAGAAAATATACTCTTCGCTGTCCCATATCTGCTTGTTGCTTACTTCCACACGGCCTCGTAACCTCCAGCGTTGCCGCCCATAACGCATTAGGACCTAACAGGGCCACAAACAGCTTATGTGATGCGGCAGAGCCTGTGTCAAAATCTGTTCATACGTGTTTGAATTTGCGTTTCTTACCTCATACTGGTCACCAACACAGAGCCGTGCAAAGCCTGCAAGACCTGAAACATCAGAAATAACCAGCAAAATAAGAACTGTATAACTTTATTTGCAAAGGGAACAGAAAGTCACGAGTGTAGAAAGTGACTCACCCTTCATCTTCACATGAAACTCTCCCATCTGGCTTTCTAATTCACTCTCAAGTGAGCACATGTGCTACAGAGACAGAAAGAGTTGAGTGTTTAAATAGTGTATCATTCGCTGTCACATCTAGAACTTAATCACATGAAAATTTTAAAATATATCCGCTTCTATATGAATAAGTGATTGAGCAACTTTTCAAGCAAAAAATTTGAAAATACAGCATTTTTATCTTCTCTGATGTGATGACTTGCTGCTTTTCTTTATCTCAGATAATATTATACTGAATAACATTTGTTTTTCGACAAGACAAAACAAAGCAAATTAAAGATCCTTGGACTCTGGGAAATTATCTTAATTTTACAGATTCATCTCTAGATTACTTGGTAATGAAAATGGTCAGAATAACTAACATGTAAGTTGCAGCTTAAATTGAAATGGAATATACAGTACACCATGGTCTTATATCTATGTTTAGTAAAATACTAAAACAGTAGAGCACAGAGAACCGCACCCAGTGTGCATGCTCACACAATGAGTACAAGCATGTTGACCTCAGGGCCATCACTTGCCTCTGTACATTCCTTGTAGCCCTTGTTGGCTTCACTCAGGCTCTCTCTGGCCTCCCTGCTGCCAGTGGCGGAGTTAAAGGCCGCCACCATTTTACTTGCTCCATCACGCAGTCGCCGCTGTATACAATAAGCATCGTACAACTCCTCAACCTGGAAAAACAAAAATTTTATTTGAATTTGTGCCTCTGTTTGAAGAATAATCTAAATTTAATGTAATAATGAATTGTTATAGCGCAATTGGTAGCAACAAGTTTCCCAACACATCTAACAGACATGAAGCAACATCCGCATTAATTTTGAGTCATGTTTGTTTCCATTTAGTGAATTTAAGTGCAATATTCACTTTCCTTTTAGCCCTATTTTGGTCTTCACTAACTGTGAAAAAGGATTGGTTATCTGCTAAATGTTTCACCATGTTCACCAGCTAGTCACTAGTAGTGTTCAGTGGAATATTTCCCTAAAAACAGCCTGGAAACAACAGGGATGAAAGCAGTGAGAGTGAATCCAAACAAAGTTGTGGGCCAGAAAACCAAAATAGTGAGCTCAAAGACACTAAAGCTTGGCAGGGCTAAGGATAAGAGCAGAGTAGGTGATAACTGTAGGTGATAAAAGTGGGTTTTTCCACTATATGCAACTCATTTCACATTATATGTAGCCAATTCCTCCATTGGTAATATATAAACATATTGAAAAGGGCAGTTTTATAGCTACTCTACCTAATTCCTTTTAAGCCTAGATGGTCTAGTAAGACTCAAAACCTGCTCCCAACTGATCTTCGCCTCTCTCATCATGTACCGATTCCTAGCGACAAAGTAAACTACGGATGCCTGGTTGTGACAAACTGTGCAAAAGGCCTCCAGTGTGAAGCTAACTGACTAACAAGTTATTTTGTCAGTCCAGTAAAGCGCTGTGGTTACGGCTAATGTGGCACAAAGCGCTAAAGTTACACAAAGCTCAATTTACTCCCACATTAAAATCATATTAATTCAATACAAAGGTAAAATAATCACCCTGCTAGGTTGCTAATGTTATTCATTTAATCATTTCATACTCGCCTTGCTGAGGTGGAACTCCAAGCGACGCATGAACCTCTCAATGGCTTTCACTTGCTACAGGAAACAACACAGCCGTTAAACTTGATGAATTAATGCAAATTATCTTATCTTCCACCTGTTTACAGTTTCCGTGTCTGATACAACAGGTGTGAATGAAACTCACCTTATCCAGCTCATACAGAGACCCCTGCAAAAAACAAAACACAACAAAGCATCAAATTAACATCCAGCCTGCGGATGCAGACAACAGCAGCCACCCAGGTAGTGAATGACATTGAATACTGGTGTGACTGGTTAGACTATGAGTGCTCACCAAACGACCATTCCTCTTGTTTTCTCTGATCTGCTGACCCAGACTGTCCAGTTCTAGCTGGTGGACCTGCAGGTACGACCTAACAACAAGAACCCATCACTGTTACTCCTTTAGTTTAACACTCAAAAGCGGTGGTCTTCCTGCATTTTCACTGATATCCCTCCTGGCAGACATCCACTGTAATTATTGCACACAGCACCTGAGATGTGTTTACTCACTGTAAGCCTCTGCGTAAGGCAGTGTACACTTCATCCAGCCGCTCAGGCTGGGGGGTTTTAGTGGGTGGCAGCTTGGTGGAGCCTGTGAACATCCTGCTTCCTTACAAGGCACGTTTCTCTTGGATCAAACAGTGCTGAGGGAGGGAGAGCCAGAGAAAGATACAGCATAGTTTCATGACTGATAAGGCCTTCATGGTCATTTCAATTAAACTACACTACCGGTCAAAAATTTTAATCGCCATTTCTCCCGTTGTTATTAGTGTAATTCAACAGCCAAACAAATTTGTGACCACTCTTTCTACAAGTGAAATCGAACACTGTTTGGATAGATAGCACTGTGCTGCCATTCTGAAGCTGACCGTCTTGATCTTATCTTCAACACAGACCGGAGGTGTTGTTTTGGGTCATTATCCTGCTATAGGATGAATTCCTGAAAAGCTCTGACTTCTGTTGTTAATGTATTTTTGCAAATAGTTCTATAGAGTGTAGTCTTTTCCAACACTGCCTTTGTACAGTAAGAATTTGTTGCTGCAAGTCATCAACAAAAGTCAGAATTGTTTGTATCAGTTTTCAAGGCTTCATTTAAAGAATAAATCAAATCAAATCATTTACTCCCACTGCTGCTGAAAAGATCGGCATTTTAACCTGTTGATCGTAGGGCTGTGTATTGGCAAGAATCTGGTGATACGATATGTATCACGATAAAAGGGTTACGATTCAATATATTTCAATATGTCGTGATACTGTAAACAAGGTGATATATTGTGATTTTTTTAAATATACTTTTAGAAAACTCATAAAATAAGTAACTCACTATCATATGCATAACTTCTCCTGTAAAAAATATACTTTTTTAGGCAATCGGAAAAGGGATCTGCATTTGCATTTGTCAGTCCCTGTAACATCCAACAGCACTACTTGGCATGTGAACTATTAATTAAAAAAAAACAATACAGTGTTTTTGAGAAATAATGTAGTGTCGCAAAACTTAATATCATGACACTCAAGTGTATTGGTATTTTCTTACACCCCTAATTGACTGATCCCTGAAAAATGTCTGTTTTATATGAAATTTAATGTTTGTTTTGAATGTTTTTAGAAATTTTTCTTAACTCTGGCAGCTTAGTTTTTATCTTTTTACCATTTAAAATGATTCACTAACTGCTTAATTTTCAAAAAATAAAAATAAAATGGAATAACTGAGCTGTTCATTCAGAAACAAAACCAGCAGGACAGAGAGCGAGATGGACTGACTGTGGCTCACCTGCTGAGTGCAGAGATATGGTCACTATTGTGGCATGCTTGGAGAGCTGAATGTAGAACTGTAGCTTCAGTAAACCCAAGGACATATCCTGTAATTATACAAAAAGACATTAGAGATAAAAGTGTCCTCCTTCATATCCCATTGTACCTGACAAGACTTTTTAATCACTGTGTGATTATTGTGGAGTCAGATAAATATAACTGAGAAAACTGGAGAAAAAAAAGAGGATAGAAACCACTCTCACTTCCTCGGTCCGGCCACACTGTTGTGTTGAAAGTCAGAGATATTGAGCGACATGCACGCAGCAATCACAGTGGCCACCACTGACAACAGTGGGGAGTACAGCCTGCTTTTCTTCCCCTTCCTTCCCTAATTCTCCACCCCCCTTACAGGAAGTCTCATGGCTGACTCTACACAGGAAATTCTACACAGAAGTTTGGCCCAGTAATATAAAACCATCCCTCTACTGTGTGCAAAAGCATAAAAAAACTTACTCCAAGTAAAGTAGTCTTACTCCAAGTAAAGACATTAAACATGCAGATTAGCAGAATGCCACAGGCAGGGGAAACTACAGAAGGAGAGGGTCCTGCCTGAGCTAATCTGGCCACAAAAAAAGATTACAGACTTATAACAAACTAAATCTGTCAAGCAGGAGCCAAACCCATATTAACACATGGGTTCTGTAAATGAGTCAGCACAGAGCAGAGCAACTGTTGTCATCTGCTTCACATTGTCCTACACTCAATTCACAAGCAGGAGATAAATCAGTGTCATATTATATTCAGTTTGTATAAAGTGTTCCATCTGAGATTGAAAACACACAGATTATGGATTTATATCACCTAAGCCTTATTTGAAACAACACTGATGACACGAGGATAAGCTGTATTCACCCTGCTGGCTTTCTAGTTTCTCCTGTCACACGGTGGGGATGTGGGCTTGGGGCACACCAGGCTGGGAGGTACAGTTAAATCGCTAATCTTAGCTGCATACTGGGAGGATTAACTGGAGGGCTAAAAAATAGCAAAAAAGGAGCTACAGTTGAAGTCAGACATTTACATACATTTAGGTTGAGGTCAGTAAAACAGAATTTTTCACCACTCCATAGATGTCATATTAACAAACTCTCATTTTGGCAAGTCGGTTAGGACATGTACTTTATGTATGACACAAGTCATTTTTCCAACAGCTGTTTACAGATAGATTAATTAATTCACCATATCACAATTTCACAGTATCACAAATCAAAAGAAATCAGCCAAGACCTCAGGAAAAAAAACTGCAAATCTCAACAAGTCTGGTTAATCCTTGGGAGCAATTTCCAAACACCTGAAGGTACCACGTTCATCTGTACAAACAATACTACTCAAGTATAAACACCATGAGACAACGCAGCCATCATACTGTTCAGGAAGGAGACGCGTTCTGTCTCCAAGAGAAGAGCGTACTTTGGTCCAAAAAGTACGAATCAATCCCAGAACAGCAGAGGATCATGTGAAAACACTGACAGAAACAGGGACCAAAATATCTATATCCTCAGTAAGACGAGTCCTGTATCGACATAACCTGAAAGGCTGCTCAGCGAGGAAGAAGCCACCGCTCCAAGATCTTACTTTTTGAAGAAATGTCCTCTGGTCTCATGAAACAAAAATTGAACTGTTTGGCCATAATGACCATCATTATGTCTGGAGGAAAAAGGGAGAGGCTTGCAAGCTGAAGATCACCATCCCAACCGTGAAGCACGGGGGTGGCAGCATCATGTTGTGGGGGCTTTGCTGCAGGAGGGACTAGGGCATTTTACAAAACAGATTGCATCATGAGTAGGGAAGATTAAGTGGATATATTGAAGCAACATCTCAGGACATCAGATAGGAAGTTGAAGCTTGGTTGCAAATGGGTCTTCCAAATAGACAATGACCCTAAGCAGACTTCCAAAATTGTAGCAACATGGCTTAAGGACAACAAAGTCAAGGTATTGGAGTGTCCAGCACAAAGCCCTGACCTCAATCCAATAGCAAATTTGCAGGTAGAACTGAAAAAGTGTGAGCAAGGAGGCCTACAAACCTGACTCAGTCCCACCAGTTCTGTCTGGAGGAATGGGCTAAAATTCCAGCAACTTACTGTAAGAAACTTGGGGAAGGCATCCTGAAATGTCTGACCCACATCAAACAATTTAAAGGCAATGGTACCAAATACTGAGTGTATATCAACTCCTGACCCTCTGGGAATGTGATTACAGAAATAAAAGCTGAAATATTTTTTTCTCTACTCTTATTCTGACGTTTCGCATTCTTTAAATAATGTCCTAGGCCAATAGGACGCTCTCACCCTAACCACTAGTTAGGGCGAGAGCACTATGCCCTAACCACTAGTCTATCAGGGATACCTATTTAGCTAAGGTGTATGTAAACCAGGGGGCGACAGTGGTGCGGTGGGTACAGCAGTCTCCCAACCAGAAGGTTGAAGGTTCGAGTCTCGGTGCTGGCAGTCCACGTGTGCTATATATGTTAACACATATATAAAGAGGGAGACACGAATCTTGACACACTGCCACCCACCTAGGAGCAGCTATACCTGCAGCCCTCACACAGTCTGTGCAGGCTTTGGTGATATTGATAATTATGAGTACCAATCAGCTGGTTTCTTCTGGGTCAGATGTGCTTGCTTTTATCCCTTTCCTTACTTTGGAGATCATTAGCTGCATTAATCCTCTGCAGAAGGAACAAAGAGGACATTGTTTCCAATCACCTCACAAGACTAGAGTGCTATTTTTATAAAGCCTTCCCTGCTCCCACTGCATCCAGCACATGTTCAGTGGGCAGTCTGGACCTACAACACTCTGAGAATCATTTTTGTTCTTTGGTTTTTTTGACAAATGAATTGTTAGTAAACAGAATGGGGTTGTATTCAACATTTATTTCCTTTACAAGCTGATTTTATAATTAATTGTTTGTTTAGTCACAAAACGCATCCATCTCAAGATGCAAATCTTCACATTCACAAAACTGGATTTAATGAATTTTTGGGATATTCCTTGACTTAAATTATCCAGATTATTAACTGGATAAATGTTTTGAACAATTAGATCGACCTGATGAGTTACAAAAACCAAAAGTGATGTATTTATCTTGGCTTAATCTAATAAATTGCCAAAGTTTTCAGTATATACATATAATATACAATTGGCATAAAAACGTCATGTGTGGCTTTAAGTGGCAGTTGCTCTTTTTTTACTTTAAAGATGCCAAAACAATAATCACGACATAACTGTTTAATTTCCTGTGAATGAGCTCATCCACTATTGGCCTTATGTTTTTTCTTGAGTTAAACCCTTTTATTCAAAGAGAATTAGAGTAGACATAAACCACTATGCAGCGCACACACCATTAGACAAGTGTTCATCCATACTTTGTAGGTCTCAGCTTGTGTTTGAGGAGGAAGAGGAGGAGGACGACGACGACGACGATGAGGGGTAATGGTGTTACAATAAAATGCGGCCACCTCTAGTCCAGATTACTGGATTAGCCTAACCCGGCGCCGCAGGCCACTCAGTCGGATAAACACGTTCACATAGGCATGTTTTTGGTTCAATAAGGATGGAGATCAACCAGAAAACTCGTGAAACCCTGTCGACCAGATTTTATATTCCGTACATCTCCCAACCCAACCCCCGGAGCTAATCACAGGCCACAGAAGTCCACTCCCGTCCAGACCAGGACCCTTAAAGCCCCTCTTCCCCTAAAGAATCGGTCCACTAACTCACAACAAACATAAAAAACAGCAGGGGCAAACGTGAGTAGGGTCAACCAGAGCCAGCTGGCGGATACAATTTCGACAACATCACAGAAAAGCAACTTCACGTCGGACACGCACATGACCATGTAAAGAAAAAATTAACAGGATTCTTGCTGTATGACCTTGGTGATAAAAAAAACGGCAGCTCCTACCTCTGTTTAAACGTCCGACAACCCGGAGAAAATGGCCCGAGTCCCATTTTCAATGCGATGCTACACAGTTTGCAGAGGTTTACAGTTATTCTGGGCGCTGTCCGTCTCCTAGATTTCGCAGTTTTTTGTGTCCACAGTCAAAAAATCAGCAGCCACCAAAAACAGGTTCCGGCTGGTTGTTTTCATCATAAAAGCTCCACACGTGAAGCTCACTTTGCATGTGATTTGGAGGCACAAATATTTGAACATGAAGCAAACGCGCTAATAAGAAAACACAAGAAAAACTAAATAACACAATAAGACTTAAACATTCGCTAGTGTGATCACTATCACATTTTGCATGGGCTACCAAATGCAAAAGCAAACACTGCCCAGTGTAGCCAGGACAGATTCACTAGCTACATGTGTGCATTAGAAACCAAGCTACCTTATTTATAAGCCAGCAATGTTGATGATTCTGCACATGAAAACTAGTAGTGGGATGTAACTAAGCACATTTAATTAGCTATTGTACATAAGTACAAAATTTGAAGTAGCCTATTTTATTTGACTATTTCCATTTTATGATACTGAACTTCAGAGGGAAAGATTGTACTTTTTACTGTATTACATTTGTTAGACTGCTATAGTTACAGTACCAATTACTTTAAAAAAAAAACAGGATTTTTCTTACATACGAAGATCTTATAAAATATGATTCCTGGGTATAAATGAAATTATTCAGCAGTCTAACATTATATAGGACTACATTTAGAGCTGAAACAATTAGTCATTTGATGGGCAACTATAATGATAATCCTTAAAAAAAAATCATGTAAAAATATGAAACTTTCATTGTTCCTGCGTTTGTCATGTGACTGTCTGGACTATTGGTTAGACAAAACAAGCATTGTGAAGGTGTTACTTTAGGCTCCGGGTAAATGTGTCACTATACTAACCAAACAATATGTTGATTAACCAAGAAATCGTCAGGAGATTAACAAGTCTAATCCTTAATCAACTCTCATGTATATACGTTTAAATTAAAGCACTGCTTTTATTTTGAAATATCGCTCATCAGACCGGAAATCGTGATTCAGCTAGTTGCTGTGGCAACAGTGATGTCCCCCAGTCTGTCGGTGTTTTCTCGGTAGCGGCATTTGCTGCGCTGGCGATGCCGTGATGAATCAGCCTAACGGAAAAAACAGGCATGATGTTTCCGAAGGAGAGGAAGAGAAAAGTACCGACGCCTCTCACAACCACTGTACACACCTGAGAGTGGCCTAGTGTAGGTCCAGTTTTACCCGTTAGGTTAAATCTATCAGGTGCAGCAGCTCTGAGGCCCGCTTGTCCGAGCTGGACCAAGACGGGGAAGGGGCGGTGATGATGAAGCATGCGGCGCTTTTCCCCTCCTGGTTTCCTACAAAACAGGACGTTGCAACTGACACAAAGAAGAGTGCTCACCAAATGTTTTGTGTTTATTAGCACTAGCCGACTGAAACTAAACTGCGCGTTATATAGCCAATGGTGTTTATCTAACGGCAAGTTGGAGTGCAGTTAATGGAGGATGTAAATGATGGGAAGGAACGTAAAATACCACTACTAGTTAAAGTTTAGAGGTAGTAAAAATCTCCAACTATCACTATCGTTACCTGGCGAACTTAAGACTGGTGTTCTCAATACATCTGTGCCATTGTTATTCATCTAGCTGCTATAATAACAGCACTAGCTTGAGCTAACTAACGTTACAGCGACTTCCACAACTATCCCATGACTCGGAGCTTCACGAACCTCAAACCACTAACACTCAGGATTTCTGCAGGATAGGAAAATATGGGCTACTTCACGGATAATCAAAATATTTGGTTAGAAAGTCCGTAAATCTGTTAACTGGTGAGACAGCAGCTGTAAGATTAAATATTGGATCTACATCTCATGATATGTTAGTCATCTTACTCACTGCTTACTTAATCACTGCAGTTGGACAAAAACATTGCAAAAGTGCTACGGTGGGCTCTAGGTAATTGTGATGACTAATTGTGGTTTACAGCGACTTCCACAACTATCCCATGACTCGGAGCTTCACGAACCTCAAACCACTAACACTCAGGATTTCTGCAGGATAGGAAAATATGGGCTACTTCACGGATAATCAAAATATTTGGTTAGAAAGTCCGTAAATCTGTTAACTGGTGAGACAGCAGCTGTAAGATTAAATATTGGATCTACATCTCATGATATGTTAGTCATCTTACTCACTGCTTACTTAATCACTGCAGTTGGACAAAAACATTGCAAAAGTGCTACGGTGGGCTCTAGGTAATTGTGATGACATGGGAAACTCGTGGAATACCAGAAATAGCATTTTAATTAGCCACAACGTGCTCTTCTCACATGTGAATTCGTTTTGGCTTTTAGTCAAATCCAAATGAAAGCTGAGAGAATAAGTGTCAAAGTAGGACAACTTTAGTAGTAGTAGTAGCTGTCAAGTCAGCAATGTTACAAGGTTAAACTCTTTAGACATACAAATGAGTCAAGTTCTTTAATATGAAGTCCTCAATTTAATAAAATATACTTGCAGGCAAATACACTGACATTTCTGTTAGCACTCAGTTGTTGCTTACTTTTTTTTTTGATAAACTTACTTTCTTTTTGCTTTAACTTTACCACTAGCATGTTCACTGCTCAGCCAAACCACACCAGTTCTTTATATCCATGACTGAAATTATCAGTGCTGCAGAAACCTGAAAAGTCACTCTTCTCAGCATCTACTATTTTATTGGTTGTACAGTCATACATCTGTTCTCCTCAGCCACACAGTTAAAATGTCATTCAAGCTGCTACGTAGCATTGCATTGACTAAGGTACAAAAGGAAAACATCAACCCAACGTGGAATGGCTACACACAGGAGTAAAGCAACATCCTTTCTCTGACATATCAGTGACAATGTTTAGTACATATACATCATCTATGGGTGTTAACAGTAGCAACATAGATAAGCAGACTAAGCTTTTAAAAATCAGAGTAGGCTTTAAAAAAAAAGTATTTACTGATGACAGAAAAAGAAACCAAAACAAAATATTGAGTAGATTTTCTTATTCTTTCTGATTCTCTTATTTGAAGTGGCTGTGATTAATGGCAGTATTATCTTTGTGAATGTTGCCTCCTCCTTTCTACAATTTTACAACTTTCAGGGGTACGAATTTTCTGTCAGAGGTACCATAGGGGTCTTCACTGAGGATACTGAATTATGGTCAAAAAAAGAAAAAACAGTAAAGCCAGGTCCACATTATGGCTGCACTACTATCTACTTAAAACTTTAACCCAGTGGCACACAGGTGTATAACTTAGTAACAAGACTACAACAAATAAATCAAAAGGGCCCCAAAATAAAGGAAATGTTTTCTAATATAACATGCACAGTCTAGATTTAGGAAAAAGTCATTATGTAACTAGAAGAGATTTTGTGATTAACAGAGAGAACCATTTTCTGCCACATAATAGAGCTTCTAAACACCAATGGCAACAATTAAAGAAAAGAATAAAAAAAAAAAAAACGACAGCCACCTGGAACTCAAATGTACTGAAATTAATTTTACTGGTAGGTAAATCCTTATTAAAAATCTTTTTAACTCATCCAAGTCTTTACTCCATGATTAAAAGTCAATTCTTAAATTACAACAGTGATGTTTGTTTCTGTGCAGGACGCAAGTATTCGTAATCCTAAATGCCAAGAATTAAAAATGAAGATGTGATCAAGGGTCTGGGTGTGTTTACAGGGTTGACCCTCACATCCATCACCGGTCCATCATGCTGAGGATCATCTCAGGGGTCAGGTCTCCATTAGGTGGGGGCCCAGAGATCTGTACCTCCTGCACTGTTCCCTCGTCCTGGGACAGCTCCTCCGTCTGAATGGTTGACTTCCCTGCGCCGACCACCACCACCACCTCATGGTCGTCTTGTTCGGCTCCAACCTCTTTTTTCACAATTATGTCATCCACCTCTCCAGTAGCCTCATCCTCAACACAGATGATAGCTGCTGCTGTTAAGAGAGCTTCAGGTCAGATTTTGGAAACATGAGAACATACTTTTCCAGACTGTTGTTACTACGGTTTAAAAGGAAACAGTTGACATTTTAGTGATCAAACACTTAGACTTTGATAGATACTATCTATGAAGTGACACACCGTAAAAAGATGCTTAACATGGCTGTAAATCTGACACTTACCATCTGGTTTGTTCTTTGGGGGACGTCCACGTTTCCTCTTGACTGGTGGCTCCACAGGGGCTGGGATAGGGATGACTGGTGGGGCCTGTTCCACCTCAATGTCAGTTAGCAGCTCCTCTTCTTCCTCCACCTCATCCAGATCAGCCTCTACATACGAAAGAGGAAGGAGAGATATTAATGTAACCGTATATTTGCCGACAATCTCAAGCAGACATTGAAATAAAAATTCTATTTTTGTTTGAACTTCACACCTAGCTGGCCTTACTTTTCCAACTAGGTTAAATGATAAAGCCTCTTCTGACCATGCATATTTTGTTATAACTGAGGAGATGTGTCATAAAAAACACAAGCTTTGCAATAAAGGCAAAATTGGTGCACACCAACTTATCAAAAGCTTGTGTATACAATACCGGTGTCATCGTCGTCATCATCATCCCTTCTTGCCTGCATCTTCCTCTTCCTGCCACGACGGCCCTTTTTCGGACTTCCATTTTCTTCTCCAGCAACTTCACCTGAGCAGTTATCAGCATGACGCAGCATGGTATTCTGTGGACCATACAAGCAATTGTCAACTCAGGACAACTCAGGCACTTAAAGTAAAAAATGTATTTAAATGTGTGGCAAACAATCTCTGCCCTACCCTGCGGGTAAAGGTCTTGTTACACTTGTCGCAGATGAAGGCAGTGGGGACAAAGTTGGGATCATGGTAGCGCTTGAAGTGCATGTCCAGAAGCTGCTTCTGCCGGAATGTTTTCTCACACTGGCTGCAGCCAAATGGCTTCTCCCCTGTGTGTGTACGCTTGTGCATTATCATGTGGCGCTCCTGTAGTACAACACACCAAAGAAACAGTCACTTAGCAGTCAAATAAATTAATAAACAGCACATGCTACATTTCCTATGTAAAACAAACCTGTCTGCAGCAGTAGTCGCACTGGTCACATTTGAAACGTTTCTCATTCTTGTGAGTCTTCTGGTGTTGGATGAGAGCATAGCGCTCATGAAACACAGCATCACAGTAACGACACCTCTTCCCTGTTTCAATAAATGAGTGCTGCTTCCGCAAATGAACACCTACAATAGGAACAGTGAAGACATGAAAATTAGTAAGAAATGTCACACTGGCCTGGGGTATGGATTAAGACAATGACTGCTCCAAAACCTTTAAACTTGGTGTCTAAGTGAAAATGGTGGCACATAACTTACCAAGGTCACTCTTGCGCGCAATGACAGTATCACAATGTGGGCAGTGGAACTTAGCCACATTCTCAGTATGTTTCTGCAGAATGTGCATCTTCATGGTGCCGCTCTGTGTGAAACGAGCATGGCAGATGTAGCACTCATATGGCTTCTCACCTGCAAAAGAGACGAGAATATAATGAGTGAAGTACTTGTCTCAAATTGGAGGTAAGCTGTTTCAAGTGATAGAAGATACAAGCATCTTACCTGAATGTGTCCTCATGTGTCTCTTCAGCTTGTAAGTGTCTCTGCTGGCGTAGCTGCACAGACTGCACTGGAAGGGTCGCTCCCCTGTATGAGAGCGGATATGCCTTTTCAACTTGCTCACCTGGGAAAAGACACACAAAGATTCAAATAAGAACCTATCACAGGCAACACAAAGGAGAGTTATACAGGTATACAACAGATAACTTGCCTCCACACTGGAATAATCACACATTGAGCACTTGAAGGGCTTCTCATGTGTGTGTTTGTACCGACGATGGCGCACCAGCTCACCGCTGGTCACAAATGCCATGTCACAATCTGTGCATTTATGTGGCCGAGTTCCTAAGAAACATTTGAAGAAAACGAGAATGAAACTATTCACCTGCTCAGTCTAAAACTGAGATGAAGTGAAAACACCCTGGATGAAAAGAAAACAAATAACTGCTCTTTTTTCCCGGTATAAACAAATTGTTTCTAGCATAACATGAGGATTTAAAAAAAAAAAAAAAAATCTAATTTCTTAACTTAACCAATTCAGGTTATTTATCAAACTATGCCAAAATGTTATCTGCATACTGGAGTCTAAATAGTGAATTATGTATTACCTGTGTGTGTATTGAGGTGGTTTCTCAACAGTGTGACTGTCCTGAAGGCTCTTCCACACAAGTGACACTTGTGTGGTCGCTCATCAGTGTGGCTCTTCATGTGTCGGTCCAGGTTGGAGCGCCTTGGGCAGGTGTAGCTACACAGCTCACACTGGAAAGTCTTCTTTACACCTGGACACAAAAAGGTGAGTGACAGTTCATTTAAAGCAACACAAATGTACACAGTGTCAGGACTGTCATCAGGAAACAACTACTACTATTTGACAGTCATGTTTAGAATCTTGCAGGTAACTTATACAGTGCATTAAAAATTTAGTGGAAGTCCAACCTTTCTTCTTGATCTTGGTGGGCTTTGGTGGCTTCATGTTGCCCACAACCTTCTCAGCATTAACCTCAGACAGTAGCCCCTCCTGCTGCTCTTCTTCAAAGTCGTACACAGAAACATCCATGTCACGATCGCCATCTGCATACCGCAGGCGGCTCTTCTTTCCCCTTTTTCCTTTACGTACAGTGGTGATCGGCTGGTAGTCTGGATCCTTGGACCATTCTGTGTCATCATGCTGAGGCTCAGGGGGTTCTACCTCTGCCACCTCTTCCTCCTCCTCCTCATCCTCCTCCTCTCCCCTCGTTGCTTGAAGCTCCTCATGGGCTGCCTGGAGCTCCTCTTGCTCTACAGTCTCCACTTCACCATTGGCACCCACTTTTACTACCTAAAAGAAAACATCACAAGTTCTCCTTATTGTGACCACACTCTTCAACAAAAAGAAGGTCAGCGGGTACGCCAAGTTCAGGACAAAACTAAAAAGGAGTGATCTTGTTACACAGTAGTAGAGAGTTGTTTCTCACTTGGAAGCCCTCAGGTAAGGGAAGAGTATGACAAATAACCGGCTCTGAATCCTTGTTAGCTGTTGATGCATCAACATAGGTGGCCTGGAGTCCCTCTACAGTTTCTGTTGTGACTGGTACTTGTACCAGCTGAAGCTGACCTAGGCCTAATGCAGCACCTGCCTGCTCTTCCATATTCACCACCTGCAAAAAAGAAAGAACCTTTTCAACTCAATCATATGACTACAACCTTACACAAAAGGCCAGCTACTGATAATCCAACATTAGCATAACCTGTGTTCTGTACCAACCTGGAGTGTGATGATCTGACCATCATCTCCACCAGTAACGGTCACTGTTCCAGCTCCCTCCAGCACCTCTGTTTTCATTTGTAGCAGAGTTGGATCGAGAGCGTCCATCACCATCACCTCCATGTTACCAGCGACCTCCCTCTGTGGCGCTATGGTCGCCCCTTGTATCAAGGCCTCTCCGCCCTCTGGCAGGACCTTTCCACTGGGGGCAAGGGTGGCAGCCTGAGCAGCCTCCATGGAGACAACTTCGCCCTCCATGGCAACACGCCAACCAAGACTCTTAAGGACAAGATATGAAAAAAAAAATGTAACAAATGTGATTATTCACATGGTTTTAAAACCAAAATGACATGGCTAAAAATGTGTTTTGCTACTGTAAACATGCAAGCTTTGTGATAGACTGATGTCTGGCCAGTCTTGTTTTCCTTCCCTTGGGGAAACCAATTAAGGTTACATTTTAATTTTATGGAAATTTAAATATCAAAATATAACTTTTAATTTCTCTCTTGCTCATTCAGTAACATAGCTTTGAGGGACATGATAGAACACAGAGACCAGTGATTTATAATTCTCTTGCTCAGATATGACACCATATAAGTCATTGCTTTAAGGCTGTATTTACACCATAATGTTGCAAATAGCAATATTCTTACAGTTACTGAGGCAGAAACCATCTTTCTTCCAGTTAAACAGACAAAAAGCATCTGAAAATATAACCTCATTACAACCTTTGCTCATTTACCTTAGTTTTAATCCTGCTCTTTCCAACTGAATTATAGTTTTAAGTCACTGCCATCATGAATAGGATTCCTATATGGCACCTAATTTCATTTTCTCACTTACTCTACTGAGGTGGTTGTAGTTATTAATGACCAGTTGATATCGGGGGAGGGGGGGGGACACACCCAGGAAATAAAACTGTCAAGGGACAGGTGTGTTTTTGTTATTTTGATGAACTTAATATAAATATATTACTAAAGGGGCCACTGATTAGTTTTGCAGTTGACTTGTATTGAAACTCTGAGCTGTTTTATTTTATAATTCTACTTCACTGCATGTCAGAGGAAAACATTCAACTTTGTACTGCACTACCTTTATTTGAGAACTACAGTTACCTTACACAGATTGCACAAGATCTTCTGACAGTATGTAAATCATAACTTTAATATAATTTGGTTACAATGAAGAGTACACTACAGTAATGATTATAAAGGTTTTATGCAGAATAACGTATTATAAGTTAGAGTATTATAATGATTTATGCATTCACCATTATCAATTTAGTGTTCCAGATAGCAAAAGTGGAGCACATTTTAACTACTTTATATGACCAGATAGTTTAATATATAATAATATGTCCTGATATCTTTATTGAAAATAGTTAACAGGACTACAACTATAAATTAATTAAGCTGCGGATAATTTCTTGAATAATTTTAATTGTCTTGATTTGTCTACACAGTGTCACAGATTAGTGTTATACCGGTACCCAAAAAGACATTTTCAAATGTATTTTTCCTGTCCAACTGTCTTAAATCTAAAGATTTTAAGTTTACAAATGATACAAATGTGGGAAAATCCCCATATCTGGGAAACTGGAACTACGATGTAAACCGACTACAATGTGTAATTATCAGTTTTCTGTCCATCGATTATTCAATTAATAGAAAAGTAATTACAGTTAGTTTTTTGTATGAATCTAAAATAACTGTCAGATACATGTAGTAGAGTAAAAGTTACAATATATCCCTCTGAGAAATGGTGGAGTACTGGTATAGTACTTCATGGCGTGGAATTACTCAAGTAAAATACAATATCTCAGAATTGTATTGAAGCACATACCTAGTTAACATTACTTTTCACCCCGATATTTGTGAATCATGCATGGTACTACTTTCGTAACGTACTTTCCAAAACCGAGGCAAACTGTTTAGAAATGGTAGCAGAACAGTTACGTGTTCCTGTGCTGATTACTCTCCGGGTTCACGTTTGCTAAATATTATGACGCTAATGTCAGTTGATCAACCAGTCAATACCCCAGAGTCTCTTGTTTGCCTGTTTTAAAATGTTCGCTTTGTAACATGGTGTTCTCACTTCACAGTGTACAAGCCTGCGTGTTAGACACTATTAAAACGATAAAAACTACTTAAACCTGAACTCGTAGTAGTTGTTAACTCGGGAGGCGCGAGTACCTCTGAAAACAGGAAACAAAGGGCACGATAAGATGGACGTCAGGCCTGAACAAAGTTAAAACAGAAATACTGATAAATGCAACCATCCCTGTGCCAATACCACAAAATATCAGCCAAAAGCCACCAAAACGCTCAACCGAGACACGGACTTACGGTTTATAGACAGATTTAGTGCATTTTGGATAACGATAGAGGGAGACAAACACCCCCCGCCAGCCGCCTGGCCGGTAAGCCCTACCGTGACACCTAGAGGCGGACGACGGCTCCTACAAAAACGTTTCCGTGTTTCCGGGCAAAGTAGCGGCTTTACTCACTCCGAAATGCTTCTTTTTCCTGTTATGTTCAATTTGAAGCTCAGCACCTGCGGTTGGCCTCCTCAATCCCGTCGCCAATGACCGATTATGCCGTGCGTTGGCTAATAACTTTCTCCCTCTTTAGAACAGTGGGCCCAACACAAAATGGCGGCCCATAAGTTCATACCACGCCTGCGCAAACACAGCACCCAGGGGAGTGAAGATGAGTGGTGGAGCTGTTGGCGATGGGCGCCACATTTGAAATCAGCCGAGGGCGTGGTGAGCGGAAACACTATAAAGAATCAGAATTAGCTTTATCTGCCAGGTGTGTTGGACACACGAGGAATTTGACTCGTGGATCTCAATGCTATATATATATAAACTCCAATAACTGTTAAGATGAAAGCACAAGTGACAGTTTGTGAATTAAAGCAGTTTATAAAATTAACCACAGGAGGGCAGCATGGGTGAGTAGATGTTGGGTGGGCCTAACACCAGCACTGGGGAAAAGACATCTACTCAAGTTCTGTAACCATGGATGGATTACTGAACAGGGTCAGGGGGATCCAGACCCAGAGAACTGCGAGGGAACACTTTCTGTTGGAAGGTTGGTCAAAAGACTAGAAATCCACAACATAAAGTCACAAAACAAGAACAAGAATAGATGTAAAACAACTAAAAGAGACTGAAAGGACTCAGAAGACAACAAAACAACTATAAAAATATGACAAAAAGACACAAAACAACTACAGACTGGCACAAAACAACCAGGAGAAGAGAAAATGAATACCAGTTACATGGATACTCAATCTGTGAGTCTTGATCCCAGAAGTCTAGGAGAGGTGGGGGACCTGCCCTACATACAGGTCTGTTCCCAGGGGCCCATTGTCTCATAGTTCATCCATGACTGTACTTGTACAATTTTGAGATACTTGTATTTGAGTACTTCCATGCTACGAGGCTTTATTTCAACTTCACTACATTTCAGAGTAAAATATTGTGCTTTTCTTTTACTCAATTACATGCATCTGACAGCCAGTTAACAGTGGTGCAAGCTAAAGGAAGTTACAGCTATAACCATGGTTCTGTTTCGTTCCTTCCTGACTGCCAGGGGCAGTCATCCAGGAATTCACAGAACCAAAATGGCTATATTTGCTCAAGTAGCCTACTGGTACAAATTTGAGCACACTTTACTTGAGAAGACCTATTCAATTTTCCCCTACTTTATAATTCTACTCCAGTACTGCATATTTCAGAAAGAATTATTGTATCTTTTACTCACCTGCATTTATTTAACAGCTATATTTACTAGTTAGTTGTAGATTAAAATATTAGATAGATTAGAATAGTAGATTAAAATAAACATGATACCAGTGAGAAATTGTGATGCCAGTTAATTGTGATTACAGTCACCAACTGATGTTGACTGATATAAATCTCCAAATGTTGATGATACATTTACTGTAAATCTAAGATGTCGGATTTGGATATCTAATTAAAAGCAGGCAACACATTTCCCATGAAACCTGTGACACATGCCCTCAGGGCAATTAGTAGTAAAAACATAGATACTCCTTCTTGTGGGTGTGTGCCTTTTTGGTTGTTGAACAGTTCTTGCTGCTCATTATCAATGTCTCTAACAAGCTATGTCTCTTGGCTATTGGGGACTGTGTCCTCTAGCACTGCTGAGACATCTTGCTCTGAAATTTACAAGAATACTAGGATGTGTGGTTCTTCACTTTTGTAGTGATGAAAGCATCTATCAGGTGAGCCTGTCACTTACAGCATTTCAGAGCATTTTTTGTGCATGTAAAATATATTATTAATTTATTACATAACCAATAGGACATTTTGCTCATATACAGAAAGCTATTTCCACTGGGTTATATTCATATATGTATATGTGCCTGTCATATATTAGGATGCATAGATGAAACAAATGTCATTGTGGTCACTCTCTTCCTCTTCATGTTTTGTCACCATCTTTTTCCCATGGTTTTCCTCTTGGACAGGAGGGGGCAGAGAAAGGCAAGGCTCTGTTGTCAGATGTGTCAGTCTAGCCGGCCGGCACCTCCCACCTCAGCGGAGGCATTACATACTGCTGGTGCTGCTGCTCTTAGCAACGGTGCCTCGGCAACAGAGCCACGGCAACAGAGCTCCACGGCAACAGCGTGCCGTGTCTCCCCAATGGAGCTGCCATTGGGCGGACCAGCACTCAGGCACTACACCCAGAGCAGACCAAGACCTCACCGACAACAACTGAACTACCGTCCCAGCAGACCGCAGGTATTGTGACAGAGGATGAGAAAGAGATTTTGTAAAAATGGAGTGTGAGTGGAGTGTGGAGAGAAAATGGAAGGAAGGGATAGATGTAATAGGGTACAGAGGGGCTAGGCAGGGGGAAGGGAAGGATGAAGGGGGAGTGCTGTATAAGATGCCTGGTCCCTGCTTGAATAAGGCAATCCCATTGTACCAGTCACCAGCTGTTTGAAGAACCCACGCTTAGTATTTTCTGTGTGAAAGAGCACGACGACTAGAGAGTGGATTGGTCTAAATGTCTTTTCTTGCTCTCACTGAAAAAAGCTAGTGGCATTTTTATTTTCCATCATTGTATCAAAATGTAGTGTGTGTGTGTGTGTGTGTGTGTGTGACCATCTCCATTTTCCACTGAGCTGATCATGTTGTCATAGGCTGTGGACACACAGTCACTCCCTAGGAGACAAAATTCAAGCAATTCCCCTGATAGGATATCATGTAACGGTGACTTCTGCTAAATTTGTGTACTGCAGTCAACCTCCTGGCTTTTATTACTACTTGTGTGCACAGATGTTAATATGATCAGGATGATGCAACACTGTATAGCTGCAATTGTGATATCACATTACCTACATTGGCAAGATGAGTTATCTTGCTTTCATTCGCATGTAAAATCCAGTGACGCCCCCCTATTGTACGTTACTGAGCAACTGACTCCCAGGAGCCTGGTTTGTAGCATGAGTGGATGAGAGGCTTAAACCAAAATATACATATAGAGGTAGAAGAACCACTAGTGCCAGAGTGTGTGGGTTTTTCAGAGGTGAAGGTTATGTAATATAAAGTTACATATGATGCAAGTTGCTCTTCAGCATCAGTTTGTTTGATTTTTGGTGTCAAACATCTGTGTTTTCTAGGAGACAATAATTGAGAGTGAAAATGAAGAAGTCCTTGAGCTCATGGGGCGAGTGGATGAAGGGGTTGAAGAGTTCTTTACTAAAAGAGTACTTCCGAGTGATACACTGTGAGTATCACAGCTGCCAAATTTGCCTCTTCATTGTTTCTTGATATTTAACTAGTCTGGATACTAACAGTATTGCTTTAAAAAGTTTACACGGTTCAACTAAATGCACCTAGACTTCACATATATAATCTTTTATATAGGAAAAAGCAAGATGAGGAATCTATCACAGTGCAGGATGTGGCTCCTGCCACCTCTGTCCCTTGTCCTCCCCCAACCAAAACACTCAGGAGGAAGCTTGGTGATTTCTTTACACTCAAAAAGAGACGAGGTTTGAAATCAGAGACAAGCCACGAGGGGCGCCCCAAAAAGGCCTCCATCGCAGATCTCATTCGCCCGCTCAGGGAGGTGGCCAGAGCTGAGAAAGACAGAGATAAGGACCGAGTCAAGGAACATGACAAGGAAAATGAAAAGGAGAAAATGAAAGAACATCCCAGTGCTGTTGCTGGAGAGCCAACTCTTCAGGAGACACCTGTTCCTGGTGCTCTGCCACTGAGGGGTGAAGCAGTGCCTCCCCGCCGAGCTCTCAGAGAGGGGAAATCCCAGTCTCTCATTTTACTGTCTGGATCCTCAGCGGCAGGGACTACCAATATCAGAAACAACTCAAAGGTTAGTGTTACTTCAGTTTAAGTCATGCATACATTTAGATCAGTAGACAGGTTTTGAAAGGCATTAATTACTCTGCTGTTGCTGATTTTAGAAACAGTTTGAGGGCCAGCACAGCTTTGAACAGAAACTCCATCTCATGCTTCAACGTATTGGAGTTTCCAAGCCCCAGCCTGGAGAGACACAGGTATGTGAATGTGTATGAATTTAGATGTGTATATTGTCAGAGTCATCAAAAGAGTTAAATGCCTTTTTTAATCTTGTAGAATCAGGAAGGAGAAATGAAAAAAGCTGAATCTGAAGGTATGTCCCTTTTTTATGTTTAATTTGATTAAACTCTTCTCTGCCCCAGCTTCATTTTAATGAAGAAAAACTAATCTTTGAAGTCAAGAGATTTGTATCATAAGGAGAAACTTTTTGACATGGATCAATTCACCATTAAAAGAATTTAATATCTCAGGTGCCATGCTGATAAGACAAGCAGGAGTATTGGACTTTTTTCATTTATTATAGGGACATAATAGATGTTTAATTCCTCTGGTAAAATAAAATTTTAACGGTCTTGCTGTTTCAGGTACTATCATTGACAGTAAACCCGAGCCACCTCCTACTTTCTCAAAACCTCGAACAATGTCTGCGTCATCAGGTAAAACACAAACACCAATTCACTCTCTCATACATACAATATATGATATATTAAATCATTTGCACATTCATTTTTTTTTTTTTTAGATACAAGGCATCAAATTCGGCCAAGTGTGTCGGCACACGAGTCAGCTGGGAAACCTGCTTTGCTGCCAAAGCCAGTTATCAAGCCAGGTCCACCCCCCACAACATCTGGTCGTAACACACCTGAAAACGAGCTTGCCCAAATCCAGGAAGGGGAGACAAACATCCCCACTAATGTCAGCCCAACTGCAGCTCCGTCTTCTCCTGCTGCCCCTGCTACCACCACTCATACAATCTCAAACTCAGTCCCTGACTCAGCCAGTGTTTCCCCTTCAAGTACTGTGGGTCCCTCTGACACAGATATATGCACTGACTCTGTTAACCCTGCTGCAGCAGCTACAACACCCACAAAAGTTACAGAGCTTGACAGCAAATCTTCTGCTCCTGAAATTAGTTCTACTACTACTGAACTTCCCACATCTACCTTTCCAGCAACCCTGACAAGCACCACTACACCCACAGAGCCAGAGCCTGCCACTTCCTCAGTTACTTCCACTTCCTCTGAGTCTATTACTTTGAGCCTCTCTGCCACTTTTGACTCAACAACAACAATAACAACAACAACTACGCCTTCCATTACCACCTTGGTAACTGTTTCCGCTCCCAGCAATGAAATCTCCACAGCATCAACAAATTTGCCAACTATTCTCTCTGTTGATGTTAGTCCTGCTGCTGGTGGTGATGCAGCTGCTTCTGTCATCACTGCAACGTCTTCACCTTCCACCAGTGTATCAAATATGCCACCAAGCCTGTCTGCTATCACCAGTTCAGTTGCTGAAGCTAGTGATGACTCCACTTCAAGCTCTGTAACCACATCACCACCTTGTACTCACTCAAGTGACTCCATTACAGTGATGGTTTCACCTGACACCCCCGTTACCACTTCCTTCCTGATCTCCTCTGTCCTTCCTTCCACCACCACCACTATAAGCCCAACATCCACCAACTGCATTAAGTCTGTCTCTCGCCCAGCCACCCCTGGTCACCCTGAGATCTCTTTTCCCATGACTTCTTCCAGTGAAACGGCCTCCACACAAACCACTTCCACCACCACCAGTTTAGGCCACGCAGATACTACTTCGACCAGCAGTTCAGCAACCACTGTGGCAGTCAGCTCCCTGCTCATGAGTGAGTCAGCGCCACCTTACACTGACAACATCAGCACCGCCCTCACCACTCCAACTATCTTTGGCCTCCCTGCTACTGATAACTCAAGTGCTGCTTCTCACCATTTGACCAGTCCAAGTGAAGATAAAGATCTGCAGACATGTACCAAAGAAAGATCCAGTGTAGAGCCTGCAGAAAAGGACTCCGGTGAGTTTGTGTGTATGTGATGTTTGCATGCATGGATGTATTTCTCATAGATATATGCTGAATAGCATGTTTTGTGATTTTCCTCTCTCAGTAGTTGACAAGGTGGTTGAGTTAACAGAGACGGATGAAAACAAAGAAGTTGATGATGGTGGGAAGAAGAATGAGGATGAAAATGAGAAACCGATGCTGGGCAACAGTGAAGTGACAACAAAAGAAGTGGAGGAAGAAAGTGTGAAAACTAAAGAAGACACACTGGCTCAACCTCCGTTAGTGAAAGAGGGTGAGCAGCACAGCGATGAGGGAGCGATGATAGAAGGTCAGCAACAAGAAGAAACTAAGTCAGCGAGTGAGAAGTAATTTAAAAAATAAAGAAACAAAGAAATGGCTAAATATGGGACCAACTACTGTGACAGGGCAGGAGAGGCCACAGTAAAGGGTAAGGGGGGCACAATCCATGGAACTTCTTACAGGGACCACCACATAACAGCAGCACATCACAGAGGGTGGGCCACTGGACCAAAGAACTGAGATCCCCTTGGTGTGATGTAATCAACAAATCCAGCAGTGTCTTTGTCCTTTTTTAACTTGTGTTTGAATTTTTTGCATTGCACGTATGATTATGTACTGTACCATACTGTGGTAAAAGACACCATGTTTACAATAGATGGATAAGAGACATAGTTATAACTATTAAATGGATTATTGAAACAGTTGAGTCATTCCCTTTGCTTTTTTATTTCAGATTAGTTTTTCCAATGTCAAGTTTCACACTGAAATTCACATCTGAGGCTCTCTAGGTTCAATTTGTTAATACACATTTATTATTTTATTTCTTCTATTGTAAGGGAACATAGACAAAGTGTCATTGAGTATTCGGTTACTTTATATTTTAACTTCATTATATTTCAGAAGGAAATATTGTACCTTTTACTCAAGTACATTTATTTGATTACATTAGTTACTTTTCAGACTGACTTAAAAGCAGTATAATCATTAAGACTTTTTATCCCTAGTGAGAAATTCTACCTAGACAATTAAAAATTTTGTAAAATTATTAGGTTATAAACATGTTATTTTCAAAATAGCATATAAAGTAGTTAGAATAAGCTCCACCTTCACCATGTGTCTGGTACACGTGAATATAGATATAATCCCGTAATATAATACACAATGTGAAATGTGCCATCTGCATGACTACTTTTACTCTTGGTACTTCAAGTATTTTTGTTGCTCGTACCTTAGTACTCTTAATTAAGTAAAACTTTGAATCCAGGACTTTTATTTGTAACAGATTTCTTGAGTAAAAGATCTGTACTTTTTCTACCAGCGGTAGTCTTGGAGTTCATCATCCGGTCCAGCAGGTGTCGCTATTAGGACCGCCGCACTGACGTCACCGGATAAGGAAAGCTGAGAGAAGCGACGGAGGAGAAAGTGTTGTGGATTGTCCGCGGAGGCCTTTAGATTTTCTATTGATACTTAAGATAATCCAGTGAATTACAAACCAACCAAAACTCAAGATACATTTGCAGGAGGATTTACTCTCGTCGTGCACACGGTAGAGATGTCGGTCGTGCCTCCCAGTCGTTCGAGCACCGGCTGGCCGCGCGGTGGTGCCGTTCAGTTCGGGAACAAATACATCAGCGGGCCCGCTAAGCCGCTCACCCTGGAGAGGACCATCAACCTGTGAGTTCATGTGCACTAGGGGACAAATAATGTAAATGTAGCGGTCAGCTGTACCAGCATGTAGCCGTTAATTGCGTATACAGACCACTGACAATTAAACACGTTAATACGTGGCTAATGCTAACTAGCTTAGTTAGCTCATTGTTTTTCCTTCCTGCTCCATATAGTGAGGAGCTACTGAAGACATCAACATCAATATGTTTGACACTGGAGCTAAAACTCACAATTATTTTAATGATCCCCTAATCTGCTAATCGTTTGCCTATAAAATGGCAGTAAAACATGCCCGTTATAATATACCACAGATCAAGGTGAGATGCTTAAATGTCATGTTTTGTTCAACTATGAGTCCAAAATTCAAAAATAGTCAGGTTTGTGTCACGTGGCAGCGAAAATCATCAAATCCTTACTTCACAAGCAGAAACCAAGTTGGAATTTAAAATCACAGGCATTTTATTTAGCACATTATCGTGTTGATTACAAAATCCTGCATTAAATCTAGTCTCATACTTGGACTTGAAACAATCAGTTGATGTACAGAAATGTAATGTTAATAAATATTTAAGACAGTCATCAAAAATGCCCAAGCTTAGCTTTTTTTTTTTAGCCTTTCAAATGTGAAGATTGGCCCTTTTTATGTTAATTAGAAGGTTAATTCAAATCTGATACCTTCTTAATCTATTATGCGTTGGTTGAACAAAAGAAGCTAATTGAAGATGTTACCTTAGGCTCTTGAAGGTTTCACAGTTTCTTTTAACATACAGCCCATCAAAAACAAAGTAGTAACTGGTTTAATCCATAATGAAAATGAGTATCTTGCAAATTAAAATATCATTATTTTACTAACACAGCTTTGCTTTAAAACATATTCATTTGACATTGTAATGATCTCTAGTCGTGTGTAGTGACTTTTCATGTGTATATTTTTACTTAAGATATCCTCTGACCAACTACACATTTGGCACCAAGGAGCCTCTGTATGAGAAGGACAGTTCAGTGGCAGCCCGGTTCCAGCGGATGAGGGAGGAGTTCGATAAAATGGGAATGCGGAGGACAGTGGAGGGTGTTCTCATTGTCCATGAACACAGGCTGCCTCATGTGTTACTTCTACAGCTGGGCACCACTTTCTTCAAGCTGTGAGTAGTGAGTGTTCAGAGGCTCCTGTATAAGTAGTCAGAAGTGTTTCTTACTGACACTGTTCTTCTGTCCTGCAGGCCGGGTGGAGAGCTAAGTCCAGGAGAAGACGAGGTGGAGGGTCTGAAACGTCTGATGACTGAGGTACCTACATCACAGCCCAGATTAAGCTTCTTGTTGTGGTGATGATTTGTAATTTACATATATTAACTTATATTTGGATATCAGATCCTCGGGCGGCAGGACGGAGTGAAACAGGACTGGGTGATTGATGACTGCATCGGCAACTGGTGGCGCCCAAACTTTGAGCCTCCACAGGTTTGTATAGAGATGACTGGGAAAGTGAGGAGTTTTCAGGGTTTAATGAATTGAAGCAACAGTTAAATAACTATTGACATTTTTTAACTGAAAGTAGTGGCATTAACAGATCATTATTGAACATCTGTTGTCCCTACATGTGCAGGTCACTGGGGCTTGAGTATGTCCAGCTCATCTATCATCCACTTTATCTTTAGGATATATTGTCCAAATATGTAGCTTTTTATGAATTGCAGTGAATTTGAGATTTAATCATTTTGAGACTTGGTTGAAGTAACACTTAGTGTCACTGTTTAGCCAAAAGAATGACACATGAAAATGCATATGTGTGTGTGTGTGTGTGTATACAGTATGTTCATAGGAATGTGAACTGATCTGAGGTAATTTGTTGTGCAGTATCCCTATATCCCAGCTCACATCACCAAGCCTAAGGAGCACAAGAAGCTATTCCTGGTTCAGTTGCAGGAAAAAGGTCAGTATATCTTAGAGCAACTTGTGAAAATTAATTGGGCATTGATTGAGTTTAAGAGATGAACAGTCCTAGACAGAAGTGTGGTTAAATGGAGAAGAAACACATGGTTAACTGCCCAGGTATCACTGCTTCTTGTTTTGAAACCTGTGATTAATGTTTCCTCAGCGCTGTTTGCTGTCCCCAAGAACTATAAACTAGTGGCAGCACCACTGTTTGAACTATATGACAATGCTCCTGGATATGGACCAATCATTTCCAGTCTACCACAGCTATTGAGCAGGTATTGCTTTTATCTTGACGTGTGTTGATCAATGTGTAAATTGCCTTAGTTGAACTTAAACACTCCTTTTTCTATTAAATGTCACAGTGGTGTAATTAAGCTTGTGAAAGTACTTGAGTGTTGGCATAAGATGGGATATAGGGATCTCACCAATGCAGCTTTCATACAGTCTAAATTGTTAAAATTTTTGGATATAGTGGGATATAAGACTGC